CATCAAAAATCAAGCTCGATAATCATGTATAAAAAATTGTCAAATTCAAACATCAACCAAGTTCAGGGACTGATGTATACATAAACCCTGAATTATCGTTCTTACAAAAATAGACTCAGAATTTTTAAAACTAATATGATGCCTATTTATCACACGTTAAAGTTTGGTACCTATGCTTATTAGACCAATGTGATTCAACATCATATTTAGTAAACATTGAAATTTCATTGGGTTCGAGTAGTTGGATGGATCGTCACATAGATACAACTAAGAGTCGAGTGGCCATAGATATATTCATCTTTTTAACCATTATCTCTCATTCTAATAACAACTCTCTTAATTCTCCATCTTAAATGAACTTTCTTCACTACATTCTCTGCACATACCTTGACCAAAGATTAAACCAAGGAATCATATATTTATATTATCGTATATGGGCGACGAATCCGAAACCTAAGTGAACGATAAATCTGAAACGTAGATGTACACGGTTCTCCTTTCAGAACAGCTCCATCAACTGCTGCGAAACATCTGCAAGCAACAATAGGAAGATTAGATAAGTTCGGGTTAGTTTCGGGTTATTTTAAATTGTATGGATGATAGCCTCAAGTTATTTCTGGTTTTCGGATGGATGGATGGAGTTTAGTTCGGGATTTCTCGAGTGGGTTTTTTCTTCTTTTTTTTGGGCGAGAGGAGTTTCGCTTAATCACCGGGTCTACGCTTCGGACACGATGATGTAGGTCGGTACACTAGACATATTACTCTCGCCTATCATGGTTATCCGGGTTTTTCCTGAGCTGTCAATGGAGAAACCGAATTTACACATAGAAGACTTGGCGAGATTATTGAATAAGAAAGATGATTTTACTCGGATGGATGACATCGATGTTGTCCGAGTATGCCTTCTAATACTTTTGCTGCCGACTTTTAGGCAGAGAGGCCAGACAACCTATCCTAATGATCTAATTAAATTGGTAAGGACCTAAATGCATGAAACCTGTTTCGTGGGGTTCGTATCTATGGAAAGCTACATGGAATAAGTTATCATATGCCTTTGATGATCGAAAAAGTTTGTGTGGCGATGGTTCCAAATACACTTTGTCAGGCTTTTAAGGTAAGAATTTTTATATAATGTTTCCAAAATTATAATTAATTATTTAACAATTACTAATGTTTGTATTATATTGTTTGTAGATTTGGATATTGAGGTCTTTCCCGCCATGCAGACATATGCATTAAAATTTCTAATGATATCCTAGGGCTATTTCCTGGAAGAGGAAACGGACCTTGCATCAATGGAAGATTTACTACCGTATACCAATAAATAATGTAAGTTAACACAAATACTAACATATGTTTAAACAAGTTATTACTAGTACACGTTTAACTTTGTTTGAGCTTTATATTGTTAGGAGGCCAACACTCTATTACAGAGGCTGACACCCACGGAAGCTGAGCTTGTCACTGATTGGTGGCAAGCTAGTAAGCGTTTTTTTTATGGCACGGATGATAGCAGCTTCTACTTCGAGAGTCATCACCTCACCCAGAGCCATCACCTGATCGACTCGACTATACACCTCTACAACGAGATCCATCACCTATTATGTCACATCATCGAGCCTCTTCTCCACCATCACCTCATGATAGGCGACCGGCAAAGATGCCACGACGTTTTCACCCTGTTCTCCACCTCCACCTCCACGGGATGAGTTAGGGTAGTTACGTGATGAGGTCAATGCCTTGCGTGAGGAGGTCGATACTTTACGCGATGACAATGGTGCATGACGTGTTGAGGTGTCTACTTTACGTGGTGAGGTAGCCGGTCTACGTGAGATGGTAGCATCGTTGCAGCTCACCACGTAAAGTAGACCTCAACATGCCATGTACCAACCTCTTCATGCAATGCATTGACCTCATCACGTAACTCTCCTAACTCATCCGTGGAGGTGGAGGTGGAGAACAGGGAGATAAACGTCGTGGCATCTTTGTCGGTCGCCTATCATGAGGTGATGGTGGAGAAGAGGCTCGATGATGTGACAAAATAGGTGATGGCTCTCGTTTTGGAGGTGTATAGTCGGATCGATCAGATGATGACTCTAGGTGAGGTGATGGCTCTCGAAGTGGAGGTTGCTCATCATCCGTGCCATCAAAAAAACACTTATTAGCTTGCCACCAATCAATGGCAAGCTCAGCTTCTGTAGGTGTCGGCCTCTGTAATAGAGTGTTAGCCTCATAACAATATAAAATTCAAACAAAATTAAACGTGTACTAGTAATAATTTTATAAACATATAGTATTTGTGTTAACTTACATTATTTATTGTCGTATACGGTAGTAAATCTTCCCATTGTTGCAAGGTCCGTTTCTTCTTCCAGGAAATAACCCTAGGAATATCATTAGAAGTTTTTAATGCATATGTCTGCATGGCGTGAAGCCTCAAATATCAAATCTACAACAATATAATAACAAACATTAATAATTACTAAATAATTAATTATAATTTTAGAAAATTATATAAAAATTCTTACCTTAAAAGCCCAAATAAAGCCTGATAAAGTGTATTTAGAACCATCGTCACGCAAACTTTTTCGATCATCAAAGGCAGACAACTTATTCCATGTAGCTTTCCATAGATACGAACCCCACGGAAACAAGTTCCATGCATTTAAGTCCTCTACAAATTTAATTAGATCATTAAGAATAGATTGTCTGGCCTCTCTGCCTAAAAAGCCGGCATACAAAAGTATTAGAAGGCATACTCGGACAACATCGACTCATCCATCCGAGTAAAACCATCTTTCTTATTCAATAATCTCGTCAAGTCTTCCACGTGTAAATTCGGCTTCTCCATTGACAGCTCAGGAAAAACTCGAGATAACCATGATAGGCGGGTAATATGTCTAGTGTACGAAGCGTAGACCGATGATTAAACAAAACTCCTCCCGCCCAAAATACGTATACTCCGATGGAAAATCAAACCATATCTCTTTATCACGACGTTGTATAGTCTCTGGTAGATCGCTAGTCATGATTTGAAGAAACAGATGGATCAACATAGCATCTCCACCCGAATGTTGTATTTCAGCCATGGCCTGAAGCAAGTATCCTCAAATATTTTTCTTTGTACAGGTGAAAGTTTCGATGCAATTGTTTTGGCCAGGTTTACATTATTTCTTAAGGTCAATTGAGCAGAATAAAAGTTTTACAAAAACAATAAACATACCAAGTTAGATATACCAAAAACTACACTGTGAAGATATACCAAGAACAATAAATATAAAGAGTAGTAGTTTATTCTTCAAATTTAAATTTGCAACACTGTGAATTTAGTATTTGTCTTTGTTTTTTTGAAATAATGCAATTCATTCAAGTTTCAATTTGCAGAAGAAGAATAATTTCTGAAACTTAAAATCGTAAAACGAAAATGAAAATCGCAACACGAAAATGACTATTACAACGCGAATTTAACTATCGCAACGCGAAACTAAAATCGCATTGCGATTCTGTCGTTGCGATTTTCATTTCGCGTTAAGATTCTCGGTTTCAAATACTAAAATTGAAACTTGAATGTATTGCATTACTTCAACCAAAAGACAAAACAAAGACAAATACTAAATTCACATGGTTTAAAGACTAAACAGTTTAGCAGTATTGTCAGCAATCGAATGAATTTAATAAACAATCTAAATGAAATGGTTAATCTATTATTGAAATTACCAGTAAACTTATCATCAATTTCAATATGAAAAATCTAATAATAATGCAAAAATTTCAGAATAAAAATAATTAAAAAAACTAACCCTCAGTGGTTGATTTGGTTGATTTTCCATTTCTGACCGTGAATGATTGTGAGGGTGGCTCTAAGAGATAGAGATAGACAGATTTCGCCGAGATGGGACTGATTTCGTCGAGATGGGGACAGATGTCGCCTTAGAGAGTGAGAGATGGAGATGGGACTGAGTTGTGATTTAAGGTTTTAGGTTATGAGTTGCGATTACGGGATATACTGTGGACGATTCAGTGTTCCGATATATTAATATTCGTGTTTGGAATTTAAAAAAAAAAATATGCGTTGCGATAATAATGGCGCTTTGAAAATCGCATTGCGATAGTCAGCATCGCGTTGCGATAGTCAGAATCTCGTTGCGATGGTCAGAATCGCGTTGCGATAGTCATAATCGCGTTGCGATTTACATATTGACATTGCGATTTACATATTCGCAACGCGAATTCGGAAAATCGAAACGCGAATTTGAAAAATCGCGTTGCGAATCTGGAAACTGATTTGCGATATCGGAGATCGCGTTGCGAATTATCGATCGCATTGCAATTTAGTTGGTCATTTTGACAAATCCAAAAAAAGTTAGTTAAAATCGTATATTATAAGACATTTTTGGTCACTGAGGTTATTTTCTCAAATAATAAATCAATGTATACAGATGCCCCTTAATCAACCAAAACTTAAAACAGAAATAGGAATAACAATGAAAATTGGGTTTAGAAGAATAAAAATCTTGAAAATACTTAAAATATGGAGACTGGGGCATCACCTATAGACATAGTAATAAACAGCTGACGATTGGATAAAAATATATGTATGCACATGCACACATATAACACATATGTATATATAAATTTATTATTTTATTTTTCTTCAAATTTAGCCTGCTAAAGCCCACCCCATCTCAGTATGAAAGTGGACGAATCAACAGGGATTACGAATAATAACTTTAGTGCACATCTGACGCACTCCTTGATTATGGGGAAAGTATTTCTCCATAAAAGTAACACAGTAAAATATGGGACCATGTCAACCAGAATGCTTATATGATCACAGGAACAGGGCCCAACACGGACCATACTCTACCAATATTCCCACAGTCCAATCATCTATTTAATTGACTAATTCCCAAGTGTGTTTATGGCTGAACCTATTCTAGTTCAGCCTAGTACAGAGTAACATTTATTGTAATTGACTGGTTCACAAATGTCAAATTACTTCAGTTCAAATGTTGTCATATACACACACTTAATGGCATGCTTCTTAAAACAGAACTAAGATATTAAAGGTCCAGGATAAGGTTTTATTGCATATAGAAAAAATGATCTTTTACGACTCAATCCAGTTTTTGATTGCAAATTTTCACACACTTCCTAATACCTGTCAAAGTGGTCCAGATTTTTATTTCATGCCAGAAACTCCATTTTAAAGGGGGAGAAGGTAGGCTGACAATAACAAACCATGATTTCACAACTAGGAAATCATCAGCCGATAAACATTTTAAAAGAAGTAAAGAACCCACTGCCGATTCGTCCAAGTCAATTTTTCTGAAGGTGATATTGGACACGGGGGAGGCAGCCAGATTTCACAAAATCGAAGTTTGTATAGACTCCAGACGAGTGGTTTCTAATCAACTGACACTATAAAACCAAAGTTGGGTTAAAAAGTATAATAATAAGGCTTGTTTCTGCAGGTCATGTGGCTTTCATAGCCATGACCATGTTGACAGGGTAAAAATTGGCAATTCAACTGCAGATGTAAAAACAAAACTTCTCAAGAACAGCACATCAACCCCCAGCTAACAATATCATATAGTTGTGCATGCTAATCTTGTAATGACCCTGCAATTATATGACATGCCAGAAGAATCAATATGCCATATCAGAATAACTTTGTAGAGTAACCGAGGGAAAGAAGAGAATTATGGACAGAACACATTTTTGGACAATATGGAAGAAGATAACCTGCATAACCTTCTTCACACCCCAACTCAATTTTTTGAACCAGTTCATAGGGACTGAATTGGACACACCCACCCAAAATCCCTTTAAATTCGAAACCCCATAAAACCAGCTGATTGAAGGGAATGGAACACCCATTACTTCAAGTGCATAAATCAGTTCCTCAATCATAGCCACAACACATCCCAATATATGAGCATTATTCTTAGATTACTGTGGAATAATTCAAACCTCACAACAAAATAACTAAACCAAATTGGTACCTGAAAAGGAAGAAGGATCATAATCATTGCACATGTAACAAGACCATTGTGTATCACATCAAGGTGAAGTTCAAATGCAGCAGTCAGTTTACTTCTAAAACTAACTGAATTTATCCTTACAAACATATTGCACCTGTAAAATTAACTTCAAATAAAAAAAATCAGTAACGTTGAAGCATTAAAGATAATCTTACCCTTCACTGACCAAGTTCAATGCCAGGTTCACCAAGACAGTTTGTGAAAGGCCTAGTTTGTTAAGAACGGATGTAAGAGGATCATATGGATGTTGCACGCTAAGTTCAAAATTTAAGGTAGTCAGAATCATTTGCTCTGCCTCAATCACCCGTTCCCGATACTGCTCAAACCAATCCTATTCAACAAAAAACTCATTTAATGTCGGCATATGAAAAATAACCTGGCTCTTTTCCCTTTTCAACACAAGGGACAGCGGTACTCTCCTTATGTAAGCCAAAATATTTGACATATTTGTGAAGCATGCTAATACAGGATTAATTACATGCTGTCCCTCAAATGTTTTGAACTGCAAGTGCACAATTAATGCTTAAACCCAAAAAGCTGTCAAGTTTAAACTAGCATTTGCTCCACTACCACAAGATGCAGTCTAATCATGGTTGGAATGTGCTTTTCAAGGAAGATCATTATAAAAAGGAAAATATATTTTAAAGCATTTCACATTTACCCTGCTAAAGAACTTAATCCCTTTTAAATTTCATAGCAAGGAAAAATCAGAAGAACTTCCAATGTACTTACAACTGGGAGCAGGTAGGATAAGAATGTAATATCCTGCTTATGGAATATTTCACAAGAAGTTCTCAATACATTGTTCAAAGGGCGAGGAGTCTCCTCGGACTTTGCAGCAAGGAAAAGAGCAGCAGTAGCAATTAACTGCAACAAACTCAATTTGTTAGTCAACTAGCATAAAGCCTGCTTATCCTAGTGAACATTTTCATTTTCTAGCACATACAAATCACTTATAATTTATTTCTTAAAATTTTAAAAATAAAAACTTTCCTTGAGGTCATAAAAATGGTGAAAGACAACTTGCCCTAAGCCTCAATAGCTTCATAAATTACTATTTAAGAATATATAAGAAACACCAATCAGATTGAAAATATAACAAGGTCAAGCAAGCAAGTGAATACCAAACTTACAAAAGGTTAAAGAATAACATTCACTAATAAAAAGGTATCTAAAGATCAGAACATAAGTTACAAAAGCAACAATTTTTTTTCTTATGCTTATCAACAAAAGTTTGAAGCATTGTTAACCTTTAAAGCCTGCTGCTTTTGAAGTAACTAAACTCATGGTGTTAAAGGGTATTTTTTTAATAAATAAGGGAGCAATAAATTCCTTAAGCATAAGTACTTGAAACTCACATATCTATCATGGCAAGCATGTGATCTTCGAACAAAAAACCGATGACACAGTACCATGGCAGTGCCAATGGTAGTTTGTGGCCTGCAAAACATAGAGTAAGATTTGATCATGACACAAGAAAATTTGCATAAATGATTTTAAGAATAAGGTAAAGGAAATAACATCCAAAATTGATAGCTCACAACTCTAGCTGCAAACCAAGGTTCTGAAGGAAGGCACAATAAGAATAGCGCAGACGTGTTTCACGATGTGCATCAATACCATCTCTTCTTGAAGGTGAACATCTCTCAATCTCATCTTTAGACAAGAAGACAGATTCATCATCCTCCAACTGTGACCTATCACGTTTATTGTTGACAGATGTAGAGGCTTCAGCATTTGATCTTATAGGAGGAGGAATGAAATTGCTGGAGTCCAATGGAGCAGCAGGCCAATGCATGCCGTATGACAGGTGGTTTCTACCACTATCTCCCCAAGTAGCATCAGAAAACTTTCTTCTTTTCAAACAAGGAGTACAATGTAGTTGTGCATGCTGATAACTTCTATTATGTTCCCCAAACTGCCCAAAGAACTCCTGTGTATGGTTAAAAATCCTGGTAGGGTCGCTACTCCATTTCCCATTCCCGTTTCTGTAGTTATTGGAACTGTAACTGCTGTAATTATTTCTATAGAATGGGTTCCAGTAATCATCCTGAAAAACGCCCCCTTGCATGCGACAATTCTGTGTGAAAGACATTCCTTATTTCTTTTTTGAAGTAACCCTGATAAAGGTCAGAAATTCAGCATGGATAATAATGAAATTGCTACATAAATAATAACTGAAATACAAAACAATTAAAACTCACTCTTCAAACAAAATTCTGGGGGGGAAAAGAAGTTAATATTTATTACTCTTATTCACTTTCCCCCCTAAATTTTAAGCCAGAAAAATAGAAGTTTGAAGCTTTAGGATCAAAACAAGATTTAAAAACCAACAGGTTAGATTTTCATCAATCAGTTTGCCTTATCCAAGCTAATCCATTCCTCAGATGCTTGATATTACTAGATTTCCCTTCAAGTGAGAGATATTTATAAAGGAAATCAGCTCTAACCATACCTAACACTACTAAAAGTAAAAAGAGCGTCCTAATATGGAAATAATTCAAAGAGCGAAAAAGATCAAAGTTAACGAACAATTCGAACCTATTAACCTCCTTATACAATATCCAAATCCAACACGTGCAAAAACAAAACAAAAAAATTCTAATACGACCAGGAAAAAATTAAAATTTTGATATATATATTGGATCAACGTTTAAAATTCAAAAAATCAAAGCAAAGCAAAATCAACCTTCTTCGTACCGAATCCAAAGAAACGGCCGATTAATCGTCAAAGGAAAACAATATTTAAGATAAAATTAAAGCGCATGCAAAAACAAAACAAAAAAATCTAATACGATCGTAAAAAAATAAAAATTTAACATATATATTGGATCAACGTTCAAATTCAGAAAATCGAAGCAAAATCAGACTTCTTCGCACCGATTCCAAAAAACGGCCGATTAATCGTCAAACGAAAACAAGATTTAAGATACAATTAAAACAATTATTACCTGAATTTAAATAGAAGAGATGAATTATCCGTGATTGAGACCCCAAAATGAGATGAGATAGGGTTTTGAAGAAAAGGAAGGGAATTGATGATAGAGGAGGTGGTCAAATATTCAAAAGGAAGGGAAAAAGGAGATAATTTCAAAGCAAGCATATGTTTTTATCATTTTATCCTTTTCCCCGGAAGCTTATAAACCTTTTTTCGTATTTTCAAAAAAAAAAAGATAAACCTTTTTTCGTATAATTTAACTTTAGTCCTTTTATTATTCTGCAATTCTAAAATTTAATTTTAGTTTAATAAAGTTATAGTTGCTTCATTTCGAAAGCAAACTCTACTCAATTTCATAAATTGATTTTTTGACTTGACTCAAATTAGCTTCGAGTTATAATTTCAAAAATTCGACTTGAAAAAGTTTCAAATTTAAATCGAGTTGTAAAATAAAACTCGAATAACTCAAAAATATTTTAGTACTTAGTGAATTGATTTTCAAGTTTGAGTCGAACCCTTGACTCTGTATGATATATGTATATTGCATATGAAAAAACTATGAATAAATATATATGTATTGTATATGGTTATAAAAACTAATTTAAATAGGAATCAAATAATATCATAATATTATAGATATTTACAATTAAATTTAAACAAAAACTCGAAAATTCAACTCAACTTGACTCAAAAAAATTTTAAAACAACTTCAAGTTGTAAATATGACTCGTCAACTCGAATAACTCGAAATTTTTTAAATTGACTCGATCGAACACTCACCCCTATATAGAGACGAAGGCAGAGAGCCTTTGACCCCGTATTAAGATGGATAAATTATCTTTTAGTCCTTTTCGATTATTAATAATATAATTTAAGCTCTTTTATTAAATGGAGAAAAAATATTCCTGGCCCCTCCTAAGTTTAAATATCTGATTTTCATCCATTCAAAATAGAATCTTTAATTTTAATTTTCTAAAATTTTATAATTTATCTTGACCCCTATATAAAGTTTATGATTTCGTTTAACATCATATTATTGTTGCTAAAATAGTGGTGTAAATTTCTTTTATTTTTTTCAGTAACAAAGTCAAGATCCTATGAAAATTAGGTCAATTATGTACCAAAAACAGGTATATCAATATAATATTTAAGGTTATTTAAAAATAAATAAAGTTGCCACTTTAACGACAATAATTAATTTTATTTTTACATATTTAAGAAACTACATCTACATGATATAAGTGCATAATCAATGCTTAATTTTTTTAAATAAATATTACTTTATAATTACTTAAAATATATATATTTGAGTTTTGTGTGTGGAAAAGAACAATACAAGGAGAAATGAAAAGCTTTGCTCCTATTTACGAGTCTAACGTAGTTCAATTTTGAATATAATAAAAATTACGTAATTATCAGACATTATGAGTTTCTAGATCCAATAAATAACAACCTTATTAGTTTAGACAATAATATTAGAAACAGGATAGGTCAAATTTATCAAATTACTATAGGATTAAATATTAAGCATTTAACATTGAATGCTCACATTTCTGGTATTATTGGTGCTCGAATCCGAAATTTCAATGAACAACAACAATTTTTTTACCACCGAAGTTGTTTGGTTCGTGTCAGATAAATACTTTTTTTAAAATAATTACTACAATATTAAACCTACAATTTAAGAAAAAGAAAAAAATGTTAATTGAAAATTTTTAACCACTTACTCTATAAAACCGAAAGATAAATGCTTAGTTAATATTTATCAACAATGATTTTAACTACCAATTTTGAAAACACGTTAGAAAAAGGAGATATTATTTAATTATTTACTTTTTCAAATAAACCTTATTAAGGCTTAAATATTTATCAAAATATATTTTATTTTGATGAGTTGCATTAATAGATGTGTCCAAATAATATAGATTCATAGATTCTATTTTTCTAAATGTAAAAAAAAAAACCTGAAATCGTCTTAGTTAGATTCAAATTAATATATTTTTTTGTTTACAACACAAAAAGATTAACTCTCAATTTTAAGTAGAAAACGCCATTCGTAACATACTTTTGGAACTTATAAAATGTGGCACATTTAAGTTAATAATATCATGCCTGAATTAAACAACATCAGTGATAAAATAATTGTTATTCTTTGAGGTCATGGATTCGAGCATTATGAGTGTTAAATAGGGATGACAATGGGTTCGGGTAGGTTTTTGGGTCACCCAACCCGAGAAGAAAGTGTCCTCCACCCGTGACCCGACTCGACAAAATTAAAGTTTCACCCGACCCAACTCGAATATATGACTTAGAAACCCGACCCGAAATAATAAAAAAATATTTTTACTCAATAAAAACAGTGACTTAATTGAAAAAATTATATATAGAGGGGTATTATTATAATTATCCCGAAATATATAGGGTAAAATTATATATATTTTTTCGGGTCGGGTCGGGTTTTTTCCACCCTAAACCCGACCCGATTAGTGCATTTAAAAAAAACCCCGACCCGACCCCAAATTTTTTTTAAAAAAATCCGACCCGATCGGGTCGGGTTCAGGTTGAGTTGCCATCCCTAGTGTGAGCGTTCAATGTCAAATAATTGAAAATTATATTTAAACAAATATTACCTTATACTTACCTCAGATTAATAAAAAGAACGTTAATAATTTCAAATTTTATATATTGCGCTATTGTTAACAAACACGTTTAGTTGTTTGGTCAAACTTTTCAACTTTATTTTTTTACATTCTCTTAGGTTATGATTTCTAGGTCACTCTAAACACTCTTATTCTTTTTTCTAGTCTTTATTCTCTCCCTTGTAGACGATAAATTATTTCATAAACTCAACTCACCACATATCCATGGTCCCAATAAATCACACAAGAAAGAGGTGAAGATTTACTTTAGAAAAAAATAAGATGAAAAAATATTATTGATTGAGATCACGAATGACGTGTTGAAACGGGTCTATATAATAATTTTTACTATAGACAAGATTATGATTAAATTTAAAATTTGTTAATTCTTTTACATAGTCTTATAAATATAAGTAATTACTATAGTTCATATAAAAAAAACAAAATATTTTTAAAATGTGATATAAATTAAATGACTTCACATATTAGGAGATTGTTATTTTTCTTCGAAGTTTTAGATTTGATTACTACATTTGTAAGGGTGGATGAATTGAATATTTGTTATCAAATGTTAGATAGTCTTTCGAACAGATGATATCTTATATTTACTAAGATTAATAAAAAAAAGAAACATAATATTTTAATAAAAATCATAGCACATATTTTGACCTATAACCGGTGCTACCAGTTAGAAGCTTACATAAGCCATTCTAAAGCGAAGCGCATGCCACAACTTCTCTTCTGATAACATTTATATTACCAGCAAAGCCACAAGAAATTTTATTCCAAATCAGGGGAAAAAAAGGAAAATTAAAATTAAATAAATAAACAATGATTGTAGCGAAAATGGCGCTGTGCTCGTTCCCGTACTTACGGTTACACAGCATAAGTTCCCGTTTCGACCCCTCCAATGGCCACAATCACCACCAAAATCATCTATTCTCATCCACGATGCGCAGGCGCCTCAAAACGAGAGATTCAAATTCATTGGATATCAAGTGTTGTGCATCGACTTCCCAGTCCAAGTCCCAGCCGCCGCCGTCGCCGCCGCCTTTTGAGGATGAAGGAGATCAGAGGAAGTTCTCCGACTTAAACAATCTGTATCGTAGGTTCTGGAAGGTGGCAGCTCCCTATTGGTACTCTGACGATAAGGTTCAAGCTAGGCTCCAGCTGGCCGGTGTTTTCGCTCTCACTCTCGCCACCACCGGCATCAGCGTCGGCTTCAATTTCCTTGGCCGCGACTTCTTCAATGCGCTTGCGAGTGTGTTTTCTTTTCCTTTGTTCAGTTTTCGTTAATTACATGTTTAGCTACAAATGTCTGACATCGGTTTGAATTTTCAATTTGTTATGTATGATAAAGACAAAGATCAGGAACAGTTCACCAAGCAACTTGTGTACTATCTTGGTGGCTTTGCGGTTGGAATTCCGGTGAGCACTGATGTTTTGCTATGCTAGCCATTTCTTTAATTGTTGTTTTGCCATGGAACTAGCAATGTCAGAATTGTGGATTCCGATATTTGCATATATACGCACTTGTTTTTTTTTTTTGGTTTCGAATGGTATTGGATGCAAATAATTTACTCTTAAATATTCATCACCCAAATCAATTCAAATCTGGATGTCTGAATCTATTAACCATTTTTCTTTTTAAATTTTTAAATTTTAATTTTTTACGAGTTACTAAATGCTGACTTCTAGCGAATTTAGATGTTAGATAGATAATTTAATTAATTCGGATTTGAGGGTTGTGGATTCGATTTTAAAGCAGATTTACGCTTTTGAATTTTAAAAGATATTCAGATATTTGACCAGTTGCCATCCATTTCACTATTCTTTTGCTTCTTCTTAGTTTGCTATCAGTAGTATTATATTTGTTGGTTGTTCTTTGTAAGTTAGTTCATGTTTTTTTTGCTAGATTTCAGTTTTTTGTTTTGAGAGATTATGCAAGGGAAACTCTTTCTTTAAGATGGAGATGTTGGATGACAAGCTATTTCATGCAACGGTACCTCACTGATCGGACTTTTTACAAAATTCAATCCCAGTCCATTATTGATAACCCTGACCAGCGCATAGTGGATGATCTTAGTTCCTTCACTTCCACTGCTCTTTCTTTCTCTTTGACACTGTTCAATGCCGCTGTCGATTTGATTTCCTTCAGCAATATCTTGTACACTATATATCCACCCTTATTTGTTGTGCTTCTGCTCTATTCTATTGGTGGAACAGCTATTAGCATTTTTCTTGGCAAGGTATTGTATCCCTCTATCCCAGCTGCACTACCTCTTGTTTTGTTTTGACACTTTGACCTTAATTTTGCTTTCTGCTTTTGTGTCATTTGCATTTTAGGGATTGGTTAATCTTAATTTCCTTCAAGAGAAGAAAGAAGCTGACTTCCGTTATGGACTTGTTCGTGTCCGAGAAAATGCTGAATCCATTGCTTTCTATGGCGGTGAAGATAATGAACTACAACTTCTGTTGCAACGCTTCACAAGTGCTTTTGAAAACTTAACTGTATGAATATTCTCTTATTTAGCCTAAACTTGTTCCATTGCCTTAAGTTTATGTATTTGAAAAATGGTTGTCTTCTTCGTGCTTTGCTGTGATCTCTTGCAATCTTGTTACTGTCTTGGTTGTAATATTATGTACCATCTTATGGCATACGCCCTTTTGGTCCTTTCCTTGTGCAGCAATTGTTGATAGCTTCCAGAAATCTTGAGTTTTTCACCAATGGCTACCGCTACCTCATTCAAATTGTCCCTGCTGCTGTTGTTGCTCCTATGTATTTCTCTGGAAAAATTGAGTTTGGCGTCATTAATCAGTCCGTATCAGCTTTTAGTCATATCCTTGGGGACGTCTCCTTGGTTGTATATCAATTTCAAGCAATTAGTGCCTTTTCAGCTGTCATTGATAGACTCGGTATGGTGGTTTCACCTATTCATTCCTCTATATCTTTTCATATTTTTATTAGGCTCCATAGCTTTCTTCCAAGAATACGATTGTTCCCATTGGAGTATAATTCAATTCTGGATGGCAGGATTTTGTCTTGCAAGTTCCTTCTCTTTGAGTAGAGATTTGGGAAAGGCATTTCAAAGACCATCATCTACATCATTCAGTCTGTTCCTTAATGATGATTAGTATAGATTGGCTACCTCATCCTTCATATGTGAAAATTCGTTCTGATTGATGGTGTTTTTCATTGTTTTCCTGTCATGCTTTACATTATATGTTTTCTACTTTTCTTGTTTAACTAAGTTAATTATCTACCCAATGCTAACAGTTTTGACTCCAAACACATTTTCAGGTGAATTTGATGATATTCTAGATACCAGCAGATCGAAATCTCTCTCTGAACCCGGGGAGTTTATTAATCTTACATATTCTCATGTCAAAGGCTCACAAGTTTTGGATTCAAATGGATCTTTACTACCAAACACGTCTCAAAGATTGCTGGATGTTGAAAATTTGACTCTAAAAACACCAAAATCTAACTCTACACTTGTTAGAGACTTATCATTTGAGATCAATGAAAAAGATAATTTGTTGGTTAGTATCATAGTTTGTATAATCAACCTTTTTAGCTTAAATATATGTATGTATATACTGAATTGACAATTACGGGGTTAAAGATGTTTTTTAATGTCTTAATAGGTAGTAGGACCTAGCGGTAGTGGCAAAACTTCTTTGCTTAGAGCACTGGCTGGCCTTTGGAGTACTGGAAAAGGGAAAATCACATTCTATGTGGAGAATGGGGGTGATGCTCAACCACTCACCTCTTCAGAAACGGCACCTGTTGAAGAAAATTCTGAGAAAAATGTGAATCAGGAGTTTGGAAGACCCATAAATAGTGATTCTAGAAGTGTGTTCTTCCTTCCTCAGAGGCCATATATGGTTTTGGGATCTCTTCGTCAGCAATTGCTTTATCCAACATGGGCCGAGGAGGCAAGTGTGTCAGATACCACCAAACCTGGAGGTATGTTCCGCTTAAATAACAAATTCACGTACCATAGCCAATTTAAAAAGCATTTGCAAGTTTTAGGATCGGCAAAACATTTTTTTTATAAAGTGTGTAGTTAGTGATACATAATTTAAAACGAAAAGAACAGGATGAATAGAAGGAAATTCATTTTCCTTGTAAGAAATATATACTACATCTGATTTTAATTTTGTGCAACCAATCTGCTATCTGATCAGTGAATATCCTCTAGAAATTTATTCTGAGCAGCTTTTATCATACAGAATAAGATTCCTTCTTTACTTTATACATGCTTCATCGAATATCTGATACTAATCAATGTGTGAGTTTGAGGCTATAATAACACTATTCAAAATTTCAATCGATATTTTGTCTAATTCTTCCCATAGATTTGACATTCTCAGCATTCAAGACGTTTCCTTTGTTTAGGTTTCAAACAAATCTGTACCCAGTTTTTGTTTAGGCTTGGCATAACTTGAATTATCATGGAGCTAAGCAGTTACTTCTAATGGTTCACCAGAACTATGAAAAACTCTTGGTTTGCTTTAAATTATTACGCTTGGTCGATAGCTTGAACCATCTATTACTTGTATTAACTTAAAACATTTTTCGATTTGCACCCGCTTTCAACAATTTTGTTCTTTTATCCTGCTAAAGAGAGCAATAGGAAAAAATACCAAGACCATTCATAGTTTTTACCATTAAAGCTTTACTGACATGAAAGTGCAGGTTCATTGCCTTTCTTGACACGAGTATGGGACTCCAAAGATGTGGGTGAAAAGCGTAGTGTCTGTGTTCCCACAACAGATGATTTAACCCAGGTTTTAGAAGATGTTCGCCTTGGCTATATCCTGTCTCGCTTCAAAGGTCTTGACACGGTATATGAGTGGTCCAGTGTTCTTTCCCTCGGCGAGCAACAACGCCTCGCTTTTGCGCGCTTATTGCTTTCTAAACCAAAGTTGGCCCTGTTGGATGAATCCACCAGCGCTTTGGATGAAGCCAACGAGGTATGTCCCCGTTCATTAAATTTAAAACCACCTAGAGTGTTAAAAACCATTCTCCCATCCAAGATTAAGATTTACATCAATAATGTTCTCATACAGGCCCATTTGTATGAGAAGATGAAGGCAGCAGGCATTACGTATATCAGTGTCGGACATCGTCGTACACTGTACGCTTATCATCGTAGGGTGTTAGATATATCATCGGCAGATGCAGATAACAGACAACGCAATTGGAACATCGGATCCATTGACCACGACAATCTACATAAATTCTTTAAGTTATAGTTGTAGCTTCCCTAATGGTCGGTCGAAACGCTGTAAACCGGTTTCTTCCGTCGTCAGTTTGAATTAAAATTATACACACGAACAAGAAATCCTTTGGATGATATTTCAAACAGGTAAATGTTATCACTTGACTATTATAGCTTAAGTATGTGTTATCCTATCATGAGGTGTCTTTAGTAGGTAATTGATATTTAGTTATTATTAAGAAATAAATTCACTAATAGAAGTATTAAGTGAAATTAAATATTTTATACCATTATAAGTTTATGTTGGCTTTTCCAATGAAAGTCGTATCAAATTCACATTTAAAAGATCAAAATGGACGAATTGAAAATTTTGAAGTCCAATTGTTAATGTTAATGCCTGTTGACTGAGGTTGACGTAAGCAGCGGTCAATGATGAGATTTTGATCAGATTTTGATATTTAAACTTTTATTTTTTTTAAAATTATACTTAAAGTTTAATTTTTATTTCATTTTAGTATCATGCTGTTTATAACTTTAGTTTTTTCCCCATTGAGTATTCCGTTCAAAATTTAACGTTAAATTTTAAAAAAAAATTAAATGTTTATGTACTAAAATGGACTAAAATTGTTAATTTAGGTATTAAATGCGTTAAATTTTTAACAGCGAGGTATTAAAATGAAATGAAAACTAAGCGGTAGGTATGATTTTGAGAAAAAAATTATAAGTTTAGATATTAAAATGTATCAAAATTGATAGTTTAGGTATTAAATGCGTAGTTTAATTTTTATTTTTTAAAAAAAATAAAAATGAATGAAATAAAAGTTTAAAATTAACTTGATATTTTATCTAAAATTTAGTGATTAAATTAAAAATTAAGCTTATTATTAATATGTCAAGTAATCCAAAATAACAATTAAGTGATCGAATTATAATAAAATGATAATATGATCAAAACGTAATTTTTAAATTTTAATAACTCAAATAAAATAAAATAAAATAAATCCAATTAAAAGTTTATTTATTTTTTTAAGAAAAAGAGTCAAAATTTGAAACCACCAATTTTACAGAAATCAAAGCGAAACCGATAAAAAGACACTAATATCATAATCAAAATAGAAGATTGATACGTAACAACATTACCAACCATATACGGTGTTGTAGTCCTTATGCGAACTGATAAAAATCAGTAAAAATTAAGAACAAATTTAACAAGTAGCCAGTCATTCTTAAAGCGCCACGTATTGTCTTCACAAACCACATCCTATCTCGGAGACTCACCCCTTTATTTCCCAATTCCAGCCCGTCCCCTTAGCTCACTTGTCTACTCCGCACCGACCCAGAGCATTAATCAATCTCATTTTGGTTCCCTTTTTCCTCTGTTATTCATCCCGCTCTCCTGCTTCCAAAGGTTACTTCTTTCATGCTTAAACTGTGCTAAGTTATCCGAAGGAAAATGATGCAGTATTTGCTTGAGAACTGGGATGTCTGGTATGGTTCAGTGTTTTGAATGGAGTTTTCTACTGATTGAATTTGTGGGTTTATCTTACGTGTTCTTGATATGCCTCTGAATTCACTTTTGCTTCGTGAAAAATGATGGTTGAATGAATCACAAACCCCTCAAATGGATTTTCTATTTTCTTGAAGTTTTGGGAAAGAAAGCTCAAATTTTCTCTTGTTTGATTATGGGTTTCGTCCATCTACTTCATGAAATCTGGGAAGTTAGTCTTCTACTCTAATTTGTCAGAATTTGTTCAGTTTATTCCACGAAAACTGAAATGCAAGTTCAGTTGTTGATACACGTGAGCTTGAACTGTTGATTTTTGCAGATTTGTTGCACATAAATTGTTGTTATTTTTATTAATTTCGTGCATATAAATGTTAAATTGTTGATTTTCAGCTCAACAATTTAATTGGACTAACTTCTCAGTTTTCCTGAAGTACAGGGATGAAATTCAAAATTAGACTATTTTCTTTTTCTATTGTTCAGGCCTTCTATTTTTATATGGCCCATAAATTTTCTATTATATTGTTTATTTTTATAATTTAACCCTTTAATTTTCTTTAAGTTTAGTTTTTTATATTTATAATTGAGGTTCTTAATTTTTGTAATCCTACTTTTTATCTTTATAATTGAGACCTTTAATTTTTTTTCAATCACAATATGTACCTTTATAATTAAGCTCATGATTTTTTCAATCTCATATTTTACCTTTATAAGTAAGGCCCCTATTTTTTCCAATCCCATTTTTACTTATATAATTTAGGCCCCTAATTTTTTTAATCACTTTTTACCTTTATAATCAAAGTCCCTAATTTTTTACATCAAACCCGAACCACTGGTGGAGTAACAAAGGACTTGTATCAAATCTTGGTTGACGTCAAACCAAGAGGCCTAGAGAAATAAGTCAAGTAAGAGATTATTTTAAAAAAAATAAACCCTACAGAATTTGCTATAGTGTTCGGTAAAGTCGTCTACAGTCGATGACATTTGGTCGAATTATGTATACAGCGTTCGGGAAAAGGAATCAAGCCTCTACGATAATGCGAAAAGTAGCAATAACAATTTCAATTGAAAGCGGAAAGAAGAAGAGTGCAACTTGATAAATTTCATGTCTAAGTAAAAATAAGGGCATCGGTACCTGAAAAAGACGAGACATCATTCCTCATTCTTTACTTTCTTTGATTTGTGGGCACTTCCATGCTTTGAAGACCCTGAAATCGGAGTTGTCTCATGACTCCGTGTTGGTTGGTTCATGGATCCTATTGATTCGGTACCATGTTTTCTTTTTGAAGGCTTCGATTGTTCATTGATTCCAGAGACTGTACTTTTTTGTCGACTACCATGTGTGCTGACAGTACGCCCCAAAGACAATGAACTCCTCCGCCCTTTGCTTTGCATCGGAGTTGCAAAAGAATCAGTCATTCCGGAGGATCTTTGATTTATCAGCTTCTTGTTAGAACTGAGCTGTTCATATTCTTCGGGAGTCGTATAATGTACAAGAGAAACTCGTCGCGAAATCTTCCCAACTATCAGGAAAGAAATCAAACTCAGGGAAATGCACCAATTCATTTGAAATGCAAAACTAGATCCAAACAGTTTAGTCAGTAATCGCTACAATACAACCAAGAAACCACACAGTTACCGAAACATTAACAACACAAGTGATGAATATCAAACAGAGCAAAGGGTAGGTGACGAATAGCGAAGAATAAATGTGATAAAAACATGTGCAAGATCTATGCATGGAATCTACAATGTCAACCATTCTCAAGCCGATGCCTCTAGTTATATCAAACCATTTCAATATATTAACAGCCTCGTAAAATAGAGTGAATACGACCATTTATATGTGTAACAATGTCTTATTGCGTTAAAGAACCAGTTCGATAGCTAATAATAGAATGAAAATTCCATCTATCCTGAGAGACAGACATACATGAACGCCAAAGCGGTTTCATCAAAGTTTAGCAATCGAATCCAAGTGTCCAATTCAAATGACAAACAAGTCGAATTAAGTGTCTAGACGATACAGAAACATACAAGAACAACTAACCGAATCATGATCAAGAAATATAAACAATCACCTTGGCACCGGGAGGTCCATACAACCTTTCATTCTTTGATTTTGAAAAAGAATTTGTTTCATGACAGCATATATTGGTTTTAACTTTTAAGTATCGATTTTCAAACTTAGAAAAGCGAGAAGTAAACGATGCAGGCACCGAAAAGAATGCAAAACTTAATACCGATTTTAGACTCGGATTCAGAGGATAAGATAACCGTTGCATCAGTCACTTTAGATGCGCTGCTAACAAGATCATAATCTTTTCCTGCCATATTTGAGCAAATAGTAAGTAAATCAGAACTAGCTTTTTTATATCAAAACATCAATGTAAAATTTCGACCACGACAAAACTAAACTAAGATCCATATAAGATAAAATACCTGTAGAATCTGTAAAACTGCCTAATTTTCCATCAGAATCGAGCTGAAGAGTAACTACTTCGCCATTAATCTCAGGATTCTGCAACAACCATAAACATAACAAAATGAAAGCATTAACAATTTCTAGCAAAAAAATCAAAGAGCATAAGCAAAGCACATAGGAATTTTATTAAAAAATAATAATGAAATATTTACTTGGTGAAGAGCCATTGAATGAGGAAAAGCTCTGTCGAGTCCGATAGTGTAAGATCGACTAATTGCTGAGAAGAATCTTCTTCGAATTCTGGGGGAGGTTTATAAGCGTTTACTCCAGAACCCATGCTTTCAACAAAGTCGAATTCACAAAATATCTCAAACGATCAACACTTAAGATTTAAAAATAAGAGGAAAAGGAGAAAATAAATAGTAAATTATAACAGAATGGAGGATTAGGGTTTAAGGTTTGCTGGATGGAGGGAGGGAGTTTTTAGGGAAGTTGGACTGAGAATATAACAATAATCTGACGGCTCATAATTTCTTTTGTCATCTGACGGTTGATATTAATTAACCGTGATAATGACCCAATAACAACAATTTTGTTCAATTACTTCGGCTGTGCTCTCCCCTAATTACTACCCCGACTAGTTTGATCCCTTAATAATATATATAGGGTAAAGTATGAATTTAATCATCCACTTATTTTCATAATTTTATTTTGGTCATTACACTATTTTTTAATCATATTTAATATTATGTTTTAATTTTATTTTATTCATCTATCGTTAAAAATAAAGGAAACACACACACACACATATATATATATATATATATGAAATTATTTGAAAATCATTAATAAATCCAAAACATAGGTATCCAAACCACTAATATAAAATTATTATTTGTAATAAAAATTAACTATTTCAAATACCACTAATCTTTAAATATTAATTTATTTATTAAATTAATTTTAATTTTATCAATTGTAGAACCTTTGTTTCCAAAGGATTAAAGTTTGAATATCATTTAACTCAAATTTTAACAAATTTTCTACAAGTAAAACACGTCTTTTAGTCTTTTTAGACATTAAAACAATCACATCAAAAATTTTGGTGAGATATCCAACGTCACTGCTGTGCACGTAGGTTAGTGGTATAAATGAGTCAAGGAAGAGAGGATGATGGTATTTAAAGTAGTTAACCGTAAAATTTAGATGAGCGTAGAACTTCTGTCATCATTTAATACTCCTTTTTCAACTACTCCTCTCCTCTCCTCTCCTCTGTCTCTTCCCCTCTACCACACGGTGTTTCGTTTTCGTTAAAATATCGTGACAGTGACAGAGACAGAGAGAATTCCAGCTTCAATGGAGGAGGAGAAGAAAGCAAAGGAAACTGAAAATCGCAAAGAAGAAGGAGAATAAATGGAATTCAAAGACTGTGACAATGAAGGCCAAGAGGAAGAACAAAAGGAAGCCATTGGCGAAGAGGTAGAACGAAGCAAAATCGGTATCATGAGAGCTCTTGCCGAACGAGAAGACCCATCTGCTAAGGTACCCTTGGTTGTTTTTTCAACTATTTTGACTCTGGGTTACTTTTTTAAGTACCTAGATTTTGATTTCACTTGAGTTTTGTTTGTTTTCAAACAGGATGCTGATGGTTTTATGATCCGGAGATTCCTTCGAGCTGGTGATTTGGATATAGAGAAAGCAAACACCATGTTCTTGAAGTACTTAAGCTGGAGAAGAACGTTTTTGCCCGAAGGATTCATATCCGAATTGGAGATTTCAACTCAATTAGCTGATAACAAGCTTTGTATGCAAGGAGTTGATAAACAGGGTCGACCTATTGTTGTTGCCTTTGGGGGGTCGACATAAGCCCACCAAAGGAAACCTGAAGGAAGTCAAATGTTTGTTTTCTTCTATGCATTTGTTGTTTAACAGATTCCCCAGAATTTTGCAGCTTCTATTTTATTCTGTTTCTTTCCATTTTATCTTGAATGTGCAGATTTTTGGACTCACATTGTGCTATGGTTTACCTATTTCAGGCTTTGTTGTGTAAGGTTTAGAGAAAATTTGTGCCAGGTATATAGCTTTATCCTACTTTAGCTATGAGTGTCCGACACGAGTATGTTCAATTGGGATCGTATTCTCGTATCCATATTTGGAATTGGATTGCATAAGACATGATTTTCGGGTACAAGAGTTTTGAATAAGATAGAGCCTAAGCGAATTCGTTAGTTGTATCAGATAAGAGTATGTTTCGACTTCTGTTAGAGTGAACCAGACCCGAATTATTAGAACTTGCGGTGTGAAACTGCTTGTTTATGATTAGCCAGACCCTTATATATATCCCCATGGGAAATGAGAAAGCTCCAGGATCATGAATGCATATGAATTGCTTTGAACCGAGATGTATAGTTGAGTTTTGTTATATGCTAAAATGGCCAAACATGCTTAGATTCTATCCTTCTTGTGTTTTAGAATGCCAAAAGGACAAGAGAAGTTTGTGGCAATTGGTGATCTCGAAGGATGGGGATACTCGAACAGTGATATCCGTGCATATTTGGCATCTCTATCAATTCTCCAGGTTTGATCTTCAACCATCTGGCAGTCATTGAAGATCAAATGCATTACATGTTACATCGGATGACTTGTACAGAACTCTTCCATCTCAGTCTATGTTTCTCCGACTCTTCATTTTTGTTGAAGTTCGTGTTTGTGATTACAGGATTGCTATCCGGAGAGGCTCGGGAAATTGCTTATTGTTCATGCGCCCTACGTATTCATGACTGCCTGGAAGGTTGTCTACCCATTCATAGACAGCCGAACCAAGAAGAAGGTAAAACACTTGCTATGCCACCTTGATTTATTTTACTCCGAATTTTCGTTCTCTTGAAATACTCATGCATGACTCTTATTGTGTGAGTTTCTTTACATTAGATATTCATTTTACTATGAGTGTTCACCCTGAAATTTTACTTGCGACTACCCGTACTAAAAATTTCAATAATTAATGTATGTACACACTTAAAAATATTTCTGAATCTGCCACTGATTGTGAATTTCTGTTGAAGATATTCTACTGGTAAAATATCATAATTTTAATATTGTTCAATTATTATTTTATTTATTATTTTATTTAATTAAATTTAGAGGACACACTAAGTTTCGTAGCTCATTGTTTCTTTCTTTTTCAGATTATCCAAATATGGGACCAGCTCACTCTGTTTATTTTTTTTCAGATTATCCAGATATGAGACCAATTTAGCTATCGAAGACATGGTCTCGATTATATACGGCATGAAGTTCAATATTTATTTCTCAACCTTTTTAAGATGTGACAGTTTTATTTCTGATTTTGTATTCGGTTAATGTTTTTAAAAAGACTTATTAAAAATTTTCGTCCATGGATCATTTATGTGATCAATGTGGTCACCTTGATTCAGTTGTAACTCTTAGGCTAGTCCCTTAGGGGTTACATTCATCACCACAATTTCACTTGACCTAACTTATGTACCAGGAACACCGGTTTGCTACGCTATTTAAATTTAGATGTGAATATCAAATATCGATATATATTCGATATAATATCGAATATTATTTAAAAAAACAAAATCGTGTTTTCATTATTCAGAACATTGGCTCGTCTTAAAGCGAACATCAGATACAAAATCCATAATAACTGAATAAATCGGATGCAATCCTCTTGTGCAGAGAAAAATCTTATTATGACAATTTGCAGCAGGACTATTGTTGCACACAAAACATAAAAGGTTTCGGCATAATCCTCACCCGATTAGCAACTTGTTCTCTTCCAATAAGCTGTATGTGGGTACCTCTAGATTGTATGATGCCGGCCCTTTGTGGATCCTACCAGACACATCATAATGTGAGCCATGGCATGGACAGAACCAGCCACCATGGTCGCCGGCGTTTGGCACCTACGACAACAAACCATTCTGGATTCTTAACCCTGACTGCATCCTCTTGTAGATCACGAAGGGATGCAATGTCGTCGTTGTTAGCCGTCATGATGTCCTTTTCGATTCTACTTCAGATAAAATCAGGCTTTCCTCTCCACTTGACGGTAACATTACTCCCTGGATCTATGCTAGAAAGGTCAACCTCAAGGGAAGCGAGGGCAAGGACATCTTTTTCTGGCAGACATGCTCAGAACAAACTTGAGGACTAGAAGACGGATCAAAGAGGCATAAACAAACCTGCCACCGGTCAAGAATTCAAGATGAAATAAGCAAAAGCCCGCTTGCTGGGATCACCAGGTGGAAACCGCTCACGATTATACTCGTCGTAAACTATCTTCGAAGTAGGGTTCTTCACCGCTGCCACAGTAGCAGGGAAACCTGAGATCATTCCAATATCATGCCCCGGCTGAGGGCATCCGAAGAAAAACATGGAAAAAAAGATAAAATACCTGTCATATGCTATTACAAAAACACATGTACTTATTACAACAGAGCAGCCAAGGGACCTAAACCATACATGTCAGTAAAGCAGCTTAGGCTCACATATCAAAAATCTCTACATAGTTTTATCTCCAAAGCACTATCTTCCTGAATGGCACATGAGCTAATTGAACTCGTGATCATTTACTAAAAATTTGAATATTTAACGTGAAATATAACAGTGGCTTGAAATGTGCAAATTCTCCGTCTTTGAGCATATATGAGTGGCTGCTCCACTGCTTCTCACTTATTCAGGCAAAGGATCACAAACTGAATCAAAATAAACACCAAATTTCTTCAAAGTCGGGAGCTATAAATGCAATCACCAGTGCGTATCATACAAATTCAATCTGAAATCATTTTCCAGATATAATAAGGAATCTAATAATAAATAGAAATATAAAAATCCAAAAAGACAGGTTATTGAATCTATATTCTTTAACTTCGACGCAATTGGAGAAATCACAAAATCTAGCATATCATCATTTTCACATTATAAAATTAATTTATGAATTATTTTATAAAAAAATCAAATTTAATGAGTATTTTATAATAATTTAATAAAAATCAATGATCTCAGTAGTGACCATTTGTGTATTTTATCAGTGACTTAATGGATTATATACGACATGTTACGTAACAAGTGTCAGTATTTCATTAGAAACCAACAATAACATTAATGACTAAGGTGCAAATATTTATAGTTGTGAGGATTAAAACCCTAAATAACCCAAAATTGGGTGATTTCTGCTCTACTCAAATCTTACGTTATTTACACCAAAGTTTTCATGCTATACATAACCGATAAAGATCCCCAAGAAATAAGGTCTTGATGCCCCAAAATTTAACTGATAACAAACCCGAAGAAACAAGATCCCGAAACCTTGAAACCGGATTCCGGATTCGATCGAAACAGGCAACGGTAAGAGTACACGAACAAAATTAACTAGCTCAAAAGTCTTCCCCCATTCGTCACTAACATGCGCCCTATTGATGTTGTTCACTTGTTCTTAGCTATCTGATTGTAGTTTTTGCTTCTCAAGTTTCTGGATCAAGGCCAGCTTTTCATCTTCTCGTAGAGAGTTGAACACGAACACGGATTTGTCGCCTATATCATCCTTGAGAACCAAACACGAGAGCATTAGAGCAATGAAATTTTGTAGTTTCATGGCCTAAACATGTTTGAACATCATGTTTGAACATTATTGTATTGATTCTAGTGATTTATAGGGTACCTTAATGGGTTGAGTAAACTTCCTTCCGGCAAAGATAACAAAGAGTGCCATCCATGAACCGAGTAGAGTAAGTTTCACTCCGTCGTCCATCAAACCTGTCTGCGTTTCGAGTAAACAGCTTAAAAGCACATCAAAATATACATGCTTAAAGAAGCTAGTTTGACGATCATTGTGTGAATCCAAAGCCGGTAAAAGAAGCAAAAGTGACAGGGTTCGGTTCAAGGGTGGATGCTTATAGGCACTAGTTAAGGATTATTTTAAGCTTTTTTTTCACATTTAACACGTTATTTTTACCGAATTCAAGGAAAATTAACGTATTAATTACACATTTACTTCTATAAACGATTTCCCTAAGTAAAAAAGTATCGAGTTGTCGGATTGGAAAATACCAGGTGGCCAAGAAGAAGTGTAGGTATAATGAATGTAAGAATACCAGCTTCCAACTTTCCATAGCAGAGACCTGTTTGCAGATTAAAGCTAATCATAAGATAATGGTTGGATAAAATGCTGTCAATTCAAAAGGTTAAATTATGATCTCGATCCCTCTACTATTCTCAAATTTGACATAATTTGATCTTCTACTATCATCTATTAATCCAAATAGTTAACTATACCAGTTAAATAAATAAATCAGTGTCAGCACAGTGAGCCGAATAATGTCATCATTTTAACTGGAATAGCCAACAACGGTAACTATTTGGACTGACTAATGACATTATAGAAGTAAAGTGCCAACTAAATCTCAAATTCGTATATAATAGAGGGACCAAAACCATAATTTGACCAATTCAAAGCATTATGCCATTTGACAATCAAAGGTGCATATGAAGTTAAAACATACACTTCCTAATCCTATGCCAAAGGCCAAAGGTTAATATTACCTTCTTTGAAAACAAGGCCCGTCAATGCAGCAAAGATAGGACCAACAAACCAGACAGCAGTCGGGTTCTCGATAACATACCGAACCAAGTTCTCTCCGGCCGGTTGAGCAAGGGCTAAGTAGGTTGCCAACGAGCCAACAACACCGAGCGCCCAAAACGCTTGAAGGGTCCGTTTAAGCTCGGTTATATAGATGTGAATCAAGTACAAGGATAGCCCCAATCCACCGGCACCGATCACGTAAAACAGATTAAGGTTTTGGTCGACGATGTCTTTCAATGCAAAGTTGTTAGGTAAAAATGCAGCTGATGAAGCAATTACAAAGGATGAAGCAGCAGTCACTAATCCGAACCTGTATAAGAGAACCTGCCAATAAAACAATATGTTTGAGCTGAAAGGGTTCATCAAATATAGTTTTCCTCTGGAAAAATCAAGGAAAATTTCTAAAAGGTACCAAAATTGGTTTCCTCTAGCAAATTCCCAGAAAATTTCATAAATTTCTCAAAGAAAATACAACAAAAGCGAAAGGGTATAAAAAAACATGGTTTCCTGTTACAAGTTCCCAGAAAATTTTCATAAAGCACTTGATGAAATACAGCAAGAGTAAAAGGTTATCGAAACTTCGCCCTTACTCATACGAATTCCCCGGGGGAAAAAATCACAAATTACTCAAGGAAATACAGCATCAAAATTAGTTTCCTCTTGCTAATTCCCAGAAAAAAATTCACAGATTACTTAAAGGAAACACAGCAAGAGAAAGGGTATCAAATTTGTTCCCTTCATGCAAATTCCCAGAAATTTATCACAAATTACTCAACGAAACACAGTTAGAGCAGAAGGGTGTCAAAATTTGCTTTCCTCTTGAAATTCTCAGCAATTTTTCACAAATTACTCAATATATAGCAAGAGCAAAAAGGTATCAAAATTTGTTTTCCCTCATGCAAATTCCCAAAAAAAAATCACAAATTACTCAAGGAAATACAACAAGAGCAAAAGGGTATAAAAATTAGTTTCCCCTCACGCAAATTCGCAGAAAAATTTACACAAATTGGCCAACGAAACACAGCAATAGCAAAAGCGTATTAAACTAAAACTAATTACCTCTCGAACATCTTCAGGCTCAATGGTCCATGGGCCAAAGGAGCCCTGATAAACGGTTCGATCAATCGATCCTTGAGAGCTTTCCCTCACGGCGTTGCAATTTACCCTCCCATTTCTAACACCAAACTCCAACGACGACGATGATGATGAGAAGAGAAATGGCTTTGCTGAGTTCATCGTGGGCTTAAGTTTGGATTTGTTAGGTGTGGTGGGACGGAGGGGAGTGAATGAAGTGGCCGATAATACTCGCGACGACATAACTATGAGGATTTGCTCGAATTTTGTTGGTGTATTGGTGTTTGAGTGGCTTATAACGTGGATAAAATCAAGACAATCTCTGATTCTTGTTTTTAATTGGCTTGTTCCAGATTTTTTTGGGTTGATAACGTGACCGAGTTAAGCTGCTTGTCCTAATGAACATTTTAAGATAGCTAGCTAGTTTTTTTATTGGGTAAACTACACACACTAAGTTTAGTATTTAAGTTTTCAATTTTTTCAAAAACATACCTAAATTTTAGTTTTTGTTTTATTTTAATATCTCACCATTAAAAATTTAACACGTTTAGTATTTAAACTATCAATTTTTGTCTTTTTTAATACTTAAAATTTTATTTATTTTTCTCAAAACTTAATGTTAAATTTTGAACAGAGGTACTAAAATGAAATAAAAAGTAAACTTTAGATATAATTTTGAAAAAAATTAAAAGTTTAAGTACTAAAACAAACTAAAACTAATAATTTAGGTACTAAATGTATAATTTACTCTTTTTTCGTAAAGTAAATTATTTTTCTTTGAATTCAACAAACTTTTTCATGTTAATCTTTAACTTGATATTTTTTTAGTAAATTATGAGTGTAGTATTTAAACTATTAGTTTTTTTACATTTTAGTATCTAAACTTTTAATTTTTTTAAAATCATATGTAAAGTTTAGTTTTTATTTCATTTTAGTAACTGTTCAAAATTTAGCGTTAATTTTTTGGGGAAATTGAAAGTTTTGGTTCTAAAACAAACCAAAACCGATAATTTAGGTATAAACGCTATAAGTTTTAACGATGTGTACTAAATTGAAACAAAAACTAAACTTTATATGATTTTGAAAAAATTGAAAGTTTAGGTACTAAAACGGACCAAAATTAATAGTTTAGGTATTGAATGCATGGTTTACCCTATTTTTTTTATTTTGGACAAGTGAATTCATTTTTTTATTTTATTTTATTTTAATCATTTTGATGATATGAGATCCAGCATGTAACATATTCTTAGAATGTCACGATTTTAAAAGATAAAATATTCAGAAACATAATCAAATATGCTCATGAATGATTAAAAATTGTTGATATAAATAATGATAAATTGTTCATATGAAAGTAGAATTCCATGTCAGAAACAGAACATTAATCTATAGAAACTGGAAAGAATATCACCAATATTCAAGGCCCTGTTGTCTGCATTTGCAGATGGGACCTAAAAGCTTGAAAATGTCAATTCAGAGATTTTTCATTTATATTAATCTTTGTTAAACCCAAAATGTTAGAGCTCTCCTCAAGTTTCATCTGTAGAAAGATCTCGGACGGATGTTATTTTAATACAAGGTTCGCTCCGGCCGGAAGAAACCGGCTTCTGTTTGTCGGACCCCTTCGGTGAACAAGTTTCTTCGTTTTCTGAACTCAAAGGGTTTTCGCCTGAACGAGCTCGTCCGAGCCTCGGTCGACCATTGGCCCCCACCGGAAATGGCACCTGCAATTCAAAAGTTTAGCATTCTTCATAATAGCCATGATCATATATGCAAGTTTCTTGTGATGCAAGAAAAACAAAGAGTCGAATCAGCGCGGTGTTCCTATGTTATCTCGGTACCTGATCGCCTGCATTTGGACCGTCGGTGTTGAAGAGTATAGGCCGGCATCTCTTATCCTCATTCATCAAACTCGAGTTCTGAAAATGAGCGATAAGGGCTGCTTTTCCTTGTATACGAGCATAAGCAAGTGATGCCACCTTCTCACTGTTGAACTTCTCCCATTTCTTCCCATTGAATGCCTGCAACGGTTTAGTTCATTTCGATTTAGCATTTTGCGTTTTCGAATGTACCCCGTCGACTCGAAAATTTCGGAAAACAAACCTGATAAAATGCAATGACTTGGCTCGGTTCAATCATGTTGACAAATGCATATCCAACATTGCATTTATTCTGCAACAATGAGGGTAAAATAAATATACATGTTTTGAACACTATCTGGTATTCTCCGAAGCTTGGAGACATGAGGAAACTTGCCTTGAAATCAATTGGCAAATAAACAAAATCGTATGTTCCTCCGCCGCGTTCGTTGATTGCAGCCAAAAGCATGTTCGAGGTGTACCTGGAGTCATAATCGACGGTCAGGATCATTTAATAACAAGCAGAAAATCATCAGCAGCACAGATTAATAACAGGATTCTTCCATTCGCAACAAGGAATCGGGATACCGATGACACTGATGATGGACCGAATTCGGAAGGCACTTACTTGTTAGGAATGTTCTTCAACATGAGTGTTGTTCGCTTGTCTTCCCCTCGTATTATACGTTCAATGTCGAGTTCGTATTGCTTCTTGTCAGCCTGATTCATACTTCTTTCGTTCCTCCGGCTTCTACAATGTTCATGAGGAGAATCAACTGCTCTCATAATCGGAATGTTTTGCCCTCTCCTGTTGTACACCGAGGACCTCGTGTGAAACATTTGCAGTCCTACATTATTTTAAGACAATGAAAGTTCGTTAGAGTTTTAACCGAAATACATGAGGCATGGTGTAACGAGAAATGAACTCGATAGAAGATGGAAAGTTGTTAGAACCTCTCATACTGCCAAGAGAACCTGGTTGAAAACAGGTATTAGAAGATTCGCCTCCATAAGCATGTCGCTGGTCCCAGAGAGATGGTTTAACGTTTGGTGCGGATCCAACATGGTAGTTAATCGTGGGTACACTAACACCAGTGTTCAGTGAATGAGCCGTAGGAAGTCCATGAAGCTGTGCCGTGGGATGCGCAGCATAAATTCCATTAACTAAGGGAGGCGAGTTAGGCCATGTCATACTTGGAGGCTCGGGCTGATAAGAGTTACTCCACGAATACGACTGTCCGGGAAGAAGATGTCTCCCATTTCCGGCAGATCGAAAGCCTGAGAAACTCAGCACAACCCAACTAACATAAATAAACAGAAAAACAGAAACCAGAATTCTGAATTTCACAAGTATCAATGAAAACTATGTGTGCAAGGGAGGGAGGTTGAGCGTTTATGAAAAATGGACCAAAAAGAGCTTCCTGGAGACAGTTCCGAAAACTCGATTTATATGCAAGAAGTTAAAAGAGTAAACAGAACACTAAACTGCAGTTTTTAATTGGGCCATCCTTACCAGCATTACTGAATTCAAATGAGTTCTCAGTTGAGCCAATTCTAGACAATGGCTTATTATCAATTATTTCCATTGGTTTGGAATTAATGTTTGAAGCCTTGGGACCTGAAGAATTGGAGTGAACGGCTCTACTAAAACCATTTTGATACTCTGGCAGCGGACGAGGATAAAAAGCCGGTGCACCTTGGACATCAAGTTTCATTTGCGAGTGACCCGACTCGACCATGACAGATTGATGGCCTATTGATCCCATTCTAACCATGGAGGATAAACCGTTAGAAACAATGGGAGAGACGCCGTGAGGAGTTGTTGATTCTGGAAACGGGGCTTTTATAGCATAGTTCAACCCCGAACCAGTTCCAACATCCATGTTATTTGATGAGTTTGGCCCAATTGCAGCCACTGAAATTCCAAGGATCAGAACATAGATACAAAGTTAGCTGTTGAATTGAGATTACAATTGTTAGGAACAACAATTATACCAGTCAAACTTGCGTCATTAGGGGGACTATGTGGATGCTCGTATCGGTACCATTCATCTTGCTGCGCTGAAGGAAGTGGTTGTGCAGAACTGCAAGCAGAAAATCAGAAGGAACTATGAAACACATAAACAAGTATAACTGTTTTCCGGCATCGGAGTAGGTAACAACAAAGTATTCTATGGTCTGGTCTTAAGCTAAATGAAAAAGAAGAGTCGAGGAGTGTAGGCAATACCGTCTTCTTGAACTCTCGGGATGGCTAAGCTCAACCTCAACTTGATTCCCAGCAATTTCACTATTGGTCAATGCATCCATAGCCTTCTGTGCCGCTCTAATATCAAAATACGAGATAAAAACGAAACCACGATGTTTGCAAGCTGTGTCAAGAGCGTGAATTTCACCATATTGCTGCACATTCAACCCATGGGAAGTTGAAACAAGGTCGAGCATTCAACTAGGACAAACAAGCCAAGTAAAGGGCAGACATGCACTTGAACCGAAAAGGAAATGACAATCATCAAGCAATTGCTAACCTCAAAAAGGGACTTTAATTCAGAATCTTCAACATCACTGTTTATATTTCTCACAAGAAGTGTTCTGGAAAAGTGTTCTCCAGCTAAACCATTAAATAACCCCATGTGGTTTTTATCCTTTTTTCGCTTAACAGTGGGACCATCATCTCCTAAATCCATCCCTCCAACACTGCTGAAAACATCCAACTCTTCCGTATCCTCTGCACCATTTGGTTGGACAACGAAATCGAGTCCTTTGGTCACTCCCGAAAACAAGTCATCATCATCGGGAAGAAGGTTTCCTATGGTTTGGGCCTCAAGTTCTTCAAGGGATTCGAATGGTTCCTCTTCCTCATAGAGTGAAGAGGAAACGGTATCAATTGAATTTCCATACATAGCATTTTCTGAAGATAAATTCACTGCAAAAAGGATGAACACAAGGAGCCAGTCATCTAAAGAACGAATCACCATTTAACAAACTCAACCCTAAGAATGCTATGAGAAAAGCTTAATAGACCCTCAAATTCAATACCTAAAAACAGGGCGAAAGACTTACACTTCCTAGTGAAGAACTCCGAAAACGAGCTCGAGAAAAGACTGTTCTCGAACAGGGAAGTCATAGTGTTGTTTACTTTGTTTCCTTCTGCAGAATGAACTCCATTATCTCTGCCAATAGGTTTCGACGACTTCAGTGATTGATTCAGAGCTCTCTCTGCTCCCACTGTAAGGCTATTGACGAATGGATTCGCTTTCGGGTGCTGCTTGGTGAAAGACTCAGCACTGTCCAGGTATCTTGTTATCTGACTTTCCACTGGAATAATTTTCTCCATGGTTGATGGAGTAACCGGCTTCATACACGCTGACGGTGGAAAAAAACCGTAAGACGCCGGTGGAAAAAAAACCGAATTAACAAACATTCCGTGTAGGAGCAAAACAAATCATAACTTCATCACTGGTTTTTCATTTACATTGCATGAAGCTCCATCATTCCATGCTTGGCTCCAGTTTTTGTTGATTTATCATTAATAAATCTTTGAGAATCCAATAAAAAAATTGACAAAGCCTGTTTTTCATAGATTGAAGATACTTCGAAAATTTCCGGGTCTAATCGTACTGCTTCAATGCATTTCATATGCATAGGGAATGATAATTTGACTTGTTACAGTTTCATGGAAGATGAAACTTTTTAAAATAAACCAATTTCCCTTGAAAAAGAAAAGATCAAAACATAGTTCAATTCCCAGTGATATATATATATATATATATATATATATATATAATATTAGAACTTAACATTCATTTTTTATACTAACCTCGCTGATCAAGCACGGGGTCCAGTTTCCAAAATCCAACCTGCCGCTGCCACAATCCAGGAAATTCAAACTTAGAATAGTGTGGGGGAAACCAAAATTGTTTAGAGGGAAAAGAAAAAGTGATTGGATAACAAGAAAATTTGTACCTCGGTGGGAAAATTTATATCATCAGAGAAAATAGATGGTGAAGACAAACTCTGCAGGTCCATTGTTTCAGATGGCATGATGATTAAAACCAAGAATTTTTTTCTTCGAACGAATCCAAAATTTCACAAAAAAATTATTTCCAACAATCGAAAGGTTTTCCCTCCAAGAGAAGATGAAAAAAACTCTGCACGGCAAACAGTAACTTTATTCAACAAGGAAAACGATTGAAAGCATTTAAAAGAAGAAAATGCTAAGAGATAAAGTGATAAAGATACGGATGATATGGCATGGCGTGGCCTGCAATTATTATGAAACATTCAACTACAAGAAAAAATCGGAGTTAAGATCATGGCAATTATGAAGAAACAAAGGGAAATTAAAAGTTTAGAGGTGTGCATTTAATGTGAAGATTACAATTTACAACGGAAGGAGAAAACATGTTTCATTCACTTACCAAAAACAATAAAAAAACCACGACGATAACAGCTCAGATTACTCGCTAAAAGATCTAATGCTCAGGCTAACGATGGAAAGTAAAGATTTTAGGCAGTTTCGAGCTTGGAAAAAATATTTTAAAAAGAACCGATTAAAGCTAAGGGTATTGATATGAAATTGAAAAAATAAATAAAAACACATTCCCCAAGAGCCAAGAAGATCATGAAAGATTCAATGCTCAAACGAACAACAAAGATTTTCAGCAAATTCGAGCTTGGAAATTTAAAACAGAATGAACCAATTAGAGCTAAGGGGATTGAAAAGAAATTGAAAGACACATACACCCAGAGCCAAGTAGATCATGAAAGATAAAATGCTAACACGAACAACGAAAAACTAAAATTTTCAGGATAGTGGAGCTAGGAACTCAATAACAAGGCTATTAGAGTTAAGGGTATTGGAATTAAATTGAAAAGGCACACTCACCCAGAGCCAAGAAGATCACGAGGAATCAAATGCTCAAGCGAACAACCTAAAAAGAAGAGAAAAAAATCAGCAAACTCGAGCTAGGAAGTCAAGAACGAGACAATTAGAGTTAAGGATATTAATACGACAATCGGAAAAAAAAAACACAGATACCCAGAGCTAAGAAGATCACGAAAAATCAAAAGCTCAAACGAACAACGAGAAAGCAAAAAAAGGTTCAGCAAAGTGGAGCTAGGAATTCAATAACAAGGCGAGACACACACCCAGAGCCAAGTCGAAGAACGAAAAATCATCGGCAGAGTGGAGTTTGGAAGTCGAAAACAGAGACACCCAGAGCCAAGAAGATTAAAAAAGACCCAAATCCAAATGCTTAACAAAACAGCAAGGAAACACAAAAATTCTAAGCAAACTCGAGCTAGGAAGCAACAAAGTGGAGGAGGGAAAAGCAAGGAAGAGAGGAATTTAAAAGCAAAAAAGAAGGGAAACGAGGGAAGAGAAAGACTTCGAAGAGGGGAGAAAATATGGAATAAATTATGGCATAAGGCAAGGGACGAGGAGGAAAACTGAAAGAAGAAAGGATCATATTAATGGCATCTGTGCCTTGCAAGTACTGTTTTCGTTACTTGACTTTTTTCCCTTCTTTGCACGTTAACCACACCACCATTTCTTCCCTTTTTTCTTCCATTTTTATTCATCTATTTTATTTATATTATCTCCATTGAATTGATCCATTTTGTTGTTCTTGGGGAATCGTTCTCTTCTCAAGTCAAGCCTGTTCAGACCTTTGCCTGCGTTTCTCTCGATATTTGAAAGGTTTTAACTTTATTTTATTATATGTGAAATGACAAACACGCCCTTGAAATTTGAGGGAAACGGTTAGTTAGGTAAGTTAGGTAAATAAGACCAGAAATTTTGCAGTGTTGTGGCATATGATTGCGGTTCGAAATCGTAAAGAATATAGTTAATTACATTGTAAATCCCTATATATTATCATTATTTTAAAATGGTCCTAGAACTAATTTTGTAATTTCATCCTCAAGCTTCGACTCTCATTTTAAATTGATGTCTACATTTTTAGATATTCAAGCTCATCCCTAGACTATGACCCTCATTCTATATTGTCTCCGTACTTTTGATTGTTCCAATTAAATCCCTCAAAATCATTCAAAAGTTTGGGAATGAAATTAAAATGTTCAAAAAACTTGAGACCAATATAAAATAAGGGCCATAGTACCACACCATGGATCTTCATTGAATCTCTTTATCTGAAATTACCAATATAAGAGATCAAATTGCCAATGATTAATGATGTGTTAGAATTAGATTTTACATTCTCTATCTGCCCACTATTTCATATATATAATTAGATAGATTATTCTTATGTGCTCGACGAGCGGCGAAGAGTACCATTAACGATGAACACCATTAATTTAATTTATAAAATTTAAAATTTTAAAGTAATCAACGTATAATTATAAATTAATTAAAAAAATTAAAGGTAAATATTTAAAATAAAGGGTAAACTATAACAGTGATCACTTAATTATTACCCCTTTCCATTTTGACCACCATTTTTTAACTTTTATTAAATAAAGGTTGTTTGTAACAAAATCTACAATCATTTTATTAAATAATTACACAAGACAAACGATGATTTCGGAATTCTTGTCAAATAATAATTAAAGTTAATTGTATAAGAGGTCCACTGTATTTTATGTTACTCCCTAGACTTTGAAATCAAGATTATTCTCCAAATTATGACTCTTATTCTAAATTGCTCAACTATAGAATATTCTATATAGTCCTCAAATGATCATTATCATTCCATTTTGATCTTTACTTTAACGTATCATTAACTCTATTATTTTTTCAAGGTCTTAGAAATGAAACTCGTGATCTTATAAAAAAATTATTTTTTAGGGGCATGTGAATTAAATTAATGGCCTTCTATAAAACAATATATCTTTGAAGGTTATAAGAGTTTTTAAGTCACAAATTCAACTCATATGAGCTTCAAAAAATGGATTAATTATTTTATCAGCAGAGTTAAAATTACGTTAATGAAACTATTAAAATGGATAAATCCTACTTGTTCGAGGATTGATACATGATGTTTTGAAGTTTAGGGATCAATTTAGCATTGGGTCTTATTTTGAAGACTGGTATAATTTTTTTAAAATTTAAAGACTAATTTGAAATTACACTCATACTTTGAGGATATCTTGTGCAAATATCTCTAATATCAGTACTAGGTTTTATGATTAAGATTACACACATCTTGAAATTTAATGGAAAATATAATTAGAAGATAAGTCCATTGTCTTAAAGGAAGATTTGGATGGTGATTAATGTCCCACAAAAACAATGAAAATTAGAAAAAGGCTTAAACATAAAAAGTACCCGACATACCTGTTTAATGTCTAACGTTTATTTCGTTTCAGTTTAATATTTAACATTTCATTCTATAACTTAATTTAGGTCAAACGATCATTAAATGCCACTTGTTATTTATTTAATATTAAAATAAATTTTATAATTAAAATAATAAAAAATTAATTAATGGAAATTGAAAAAAAAAAAAAAATTAAAAACCTTTTTATTTTTTACCCTTTAACCCTAAATCATTTTCCTTCTCTTCTCTTCCTCTTTTCCCATCACTTCACTTTGGGATGAACATGGATTTGAATCCGACCCAACCCAGTTGGATTGGGTTTTTTTTTTTAAATTATGGTTAGATTGAGATTTTTTAATGTGATGTTTGGATCAAATTCAAGTTTAAGGTGAAAAATATCCAGCCGACCTAAAAAAATATATAATTTTACCTTATATATTTAAAAATAATTACAATAATATCTTTATATATATATTATTTTAAAATTAAATCATTTTTTATTAAGTAAAAATAATATTTTTATTATTATTTCGGGTTAAGTCGAGTTTTAAGTTATATATCAGGTCGAGTTCGAATCTGGTAAAATCTTGTTTTGATCGGATCGATCAGATCTCGGGTGGACCTTGTTCTCGGATCGATTAAACCAAAATCCGAATCATGCCCATCCCTACTTCACCATTTGTATGAAATTTAATTCAAGAACCTAAATCAGTTGAGCAACCAAACCAAGATCCCATCCAGCTTTTCTCATCAAACCAATCAAAATCTTACTGATGAGTTGCTCTACAAGCATCATGCAAAAGAGAATGAAATACTTTAGCAGTCAAAAGAACATCACAAGCTGAATTTAGATTACCGGATACTTTCTTGGGTAATTTGGTGTTAGCCCATTGAATCTCAGCTAATTTCTTCCTCAAACTCCAGAGTTGATTGTCCTTTTCATCAATCTCTTCCTGCAAACGGTTCGAAACAATCCCCAACGTCCTCAACTTGCTTTGATTCTCACGCACTTGAGATTCCGAGCAAGACCCTAAACCCAACCCGATTTCAGAATCGGGATTCTTCGAAATCTCCTTGTAAAAGCGCTTCAAATCAGACAATCTTTGCAGATGAGAAACCAAAGCTCTATCGGCCGCCTTCACACTCTCCTCAACGAAAGGCACGTGCAAAGTTTGTAGCTGGAGATACGAAGCTTCGAATGAAGAAACGGCGGCGAAAACAGAAGAAATCAATGAATCGACGATCTGGGTATCGATGATCCGGTCCTGGGAAGCTCTGTTAAGTGGAGAAATCGATGAATTGGGAAGTGGGTCGGGCTTGATGACGACTACTTTCTAGTCGGTAATGAAGTCTTCGGTGGAGTCGAGGAGGGAGAATCCATCGACAGCGTTGATGCTGTGACGAGAATCGTCTTCTTCGTCGGCGAAGAATTCGAAGGGGATGGGATGGGAGTGACGGGGAAGAGAGGTAAAATGATTTAGGGTTAAAGGGTAAAAAAATTAAAAGGTTTTTAACTTTTATTTTTTTTCAATTTCTATTAATTAATTTCTTATTATTTTAATTACAAAATTTATTTTTTTTAATATTAAGGTATTTAATGACAGAAATTAACGGAAAATGAAATAAATGTTTTGGTACTAAATTATAACCAAAGACATACGTTACACACCATTTTATGTTTGAACCTTAAAAAATGATAATTTACAAATTATCAAAGTTTAAGGATCTCACGATGAAAATCAAATATTATAGAAGTTCGATATGAAAACGATTCTTTCAATTAAGTTTGTTATATTATCGATTATAATGAATTATTGGGTAAATTATGCATTTAGCACATAAACTGTCGGTTTTTGTATGTTTTAGTACTTGAGCTTTCAATTTTTTTCAAAATTATACCTAACATTTAGTTTTTATTTCATTTTAGTATATCGCCGTTAAAACTTAGTTTAATACCTAAACTATCAGTTTTGGTTCATTTTAGTAAAACTTAGTTTAATACCTAAACTATCAGTTTTGGTTCATTTTAGTAAAACTTGGTTTAATACCTAAACTATCAGTTTTAGTTCATTTTAGTACCTAAACTTTCAATTTTTTCAAAACCTAATGTTAAAGTTCGAACGGATATACTAAAATGAAACAGGGACTAAACTATAGGTATGGTTTTGAAAAAATTGAGATTTTAGGTATTAAAATGGATCAAAATTGATAGTATAGGTACTAATCACATGATTTACCCTAAATTATTATATCTACAAATCTCACCAACCCTTCTTGGTGATGAACATAACTAGCTAACCTTTTTAAAGTTTTAGGGAACATGGATGGATGTTAATTACACCTTCTTCCACAAGTAGAAAAATAAACAACCAAATCGGCAAGTGTTTAAATTTATCACGTTTAGTTTACTTTTAATTTATGTAATACCTTACAACGTGACCAACTCAATCTCTTTTGTAAATATTAAAAAAAAAATTTGTTATTTTTTATGCTGATTTTTTAATTTCGTAATTATAAATTAATTAAAACTTTATTAAGTCATATATTAAAATATATTCTTCTTCTTCTTTTAATAGAAACCACTCATTTTGTTCAAAATAGGAAATATATTAAATTACAATAATTAATATAATTTCTTATAATCATTTAAACAAAAATATCAACTTAAGATCACTAAAGACCATACAAGGAAAGATTAAAGCCTAACTAAGAAACTGGAACAAAAATAGATACAAAAGATCTAATTGCATCGGCAAACGAACCACAAAAGAGAATCAAACTACTGAAAGATCACCGACAAATTATAAATTAGACTCGAACGACGTGAAAAGTTATCCACGAATGCATAGCGGGTATTCAAATCCAATCAAGGGTCAAAGTAGGGAAGATCGATGATATACCATATAAACGCTATCTTAATTGGTCGTGACGATGTCAAATAAACTCTTAGAAAAAGATAAATGAAAACAACGGCAAACCAACAAAAAAACGTGTTATAAAGATAGATGAAAATATGTCAAACCAACAAACTTATTGAAAAATATAAAAGGAAAATAAAGAATTTCGGACGAGGCTCCAACCATATTTAGAAGGATCCCACCTGATTTTTTAGTTCAAAATTCATACCGGATTTGATCAAAGTATAATTATGCAAAAAAATATATTATTAGATAAAATTAGAATTTAAATTGAAAAAATGGCATAAAAGATATATTATTGTAATTATCTTTAAATACGTGAGAGACAATTATAATATTATATACTTTCAATATTAATTTTTAATTCTAGTATAATTATATATCTTCAAAAAGATTGATTAGATTAAATCAAATCGATAAATCTCAACGAAATGTTCATCTCTAATAATCGTATTAATATATATTAAATGGATTTTATCAATTCCAAAACTAAGATAAAATAGCCCCTCCATGTATTGTAAGAGCACCCAAAATTTGGACCAAATTGGTCCCCACCACAATTTGTATGACATTCACATAAAGAATGTGACATTATACTAACCCTATAATCTAATCTAAAGTCACCCTCCCCCGATGGTCGTGGACATGACCTTCCGAAATCCTTCTTTATTTGCAACTTGCAGGCCTCTCCTTTTTATTATTTTTCAAATAATTTATCGATGGTGTTCTTTTTGAATTTTTTTTATGTTAATTATTCATTTTATCGATGATGCTCATCTTTAAATTTTTTTCAGAGTGGACAAAAAGAAGAGGCGAGTTCATAGCAGAGTTTTTGCTTTGGTGGTAGGACACAGTAGAGTGCAATTATCATTATATAAAATTTATTATTTATAAGGTAGGATTGTTTTGAATTTCGACCAATGTTTAGGGGTAAATATGAGGAGTGAAAGAATAATAAGGTTAAGGTGGCCCAAGAAACGCGTTTAATGCCATGGTTTACGCTTAAGAAAGTGACCTTATATTAGAGTTTGAGGCCTTTGTTTTCTCTTACGAAAGATATGAGAGTGCCCCTTCAAGATTTTGTTGTACTTAGACAACCTTTATTTATTCTCCCAAAAATTAGTTTTCGTACAAAAATCATATCGACATTTATATTCTGATTGCTTAGTCAATGATCATGTATAGTCAGATTCCTCTTTTGGTAAAAGATTATTTGTCGTTGTAATCATATTGTGTAGCGAAGTAGCCTGTCAGATCATTTGATTCGCTCTCCACTCCTTTATCCTTTCGTTCAAGTGTTTCATTCGACAAAGACAAGAAATTTTTATGAATGTTATTGAGTTTTGATGTTGGTCGCCACTCTCATCGGAGGGTTTTAATTGTCTTCGTATATTTTGTTTTATTTTTTGTATGAGTATAGTGTTATTGCCTCCAAATTTTATCTATATTTTGATAAATTGTAATTTTTATTTTTTTCGGTTACTAATAAAATTCAGTTGTCGTTATTAAAAAAAACTATAAATCACGAATAAGACGCATGTATCAATATAATCATGAATAAGATTCACACGTAACTATAATTAAGTTGAATATAAATCTAAACAGACCCATATAATTTATATATATTGATATTTAAATTTGAACACAAAAATCACAAAATTTCAAAGATACCAGCTCTGTAAAACTCTCATCGGTGACATAGGAATGAGTTTTTCCACAGAATTTTACAAATTTTAACATGTTTAAAAATTAAAATTATATTTATTCGGAGTATAAAATCATTAAAATTATGTATATATCATAATTATATTTTAAAAGAAATAAATCTTACCAAAATGTTTAGTGGAATTGATTGAAAAAATGACTTCAACACTAAAAATACATATTTCTAGAAAACAAAGTGACTAGATGTTAAACAATTATAATATAGAGACTATGTTTGCAAACATATGTGTAGTATAGTGACCTTCTCGACCAATTTGCCTATTAGAATATTATTTTAATAATTAAATTACAATTACATCTATTACCCCTAATTAATTATGTCTAATTAAACCTTGATTAGGGTTACTGGTCAATGTCACTAAAGATTTAAAAAGGAAAACAATTAAACAACTATCTTTCTTAGAATCCCCCCCCCCAATTTTCTTCTACTTTCTTTCGCCCTTTCTCTCTGATTTCACCTGTAAACGGCGTAACGGACTTTTCTCTAAAAAAACCCGTTACTAATTAATTCTCGCTGTCACGTGCGTTATTTTCACATTTTTTTTAAAGAAAAAAGAAAATTTATCAATTCTTCGCTTTCGATTTTTATGGCCTCGGAGCAGTTAAGTTTGGCTGTGACTGCGGACCCGGTTGACGGCGAAAGAGACGCCGTCAACGCCGCCACTAACGGCGTCGAACCCCGTCCGGTGTCCTTCGATTGTGGCGATGACGTCAGCAAGACTCCGAGGCTCCCTCGATGGACGAGGCAGGAGATTCTCGTGCTGATACAGGGGAAGAGAGTGGCGGAGAATCGGGTCAGACGTGGACGGGCCGCCGGTTTGGCTTTCGGTTCGGGTCACGTGGAGCCGAAGTGGGCTTCGGTTTCATCGTACTGCAAGCGGCACGGCGTGAACCGGGGGCCGGTCCAGTGCCGTAAGAGGTGGAGTAATTTGGCGGGGGATTTCAAGAAGATCAAGGAATGGGAGAATAACATAAGGGAAGAGAGCGAGTCGTTTTGGGTCATGAGGAATGACTTGAGGAGGGAACGGAAGTTACCGGGCTTCTTCGATAAGGAAGTTTACGATATAATCGACGGAGCTGCCACCGCAACCGACGCCGCCGAAATCCCTTCCTCGGTCATGGCTCCGTCTCTGGCTTTGGCTTTGACTCCTACCCCCGCGGCGCAGGACGTGGCGGAGGATTCCGAGACAGTTTTTGACAGCGGACGGAGCGCTGCAACTGAGGACGGGCTATTTTCGGACTTTGAGCAGGATGACGGTGGTGGGAGCCCGGTAAAGGTGCAGCCGGCCGTTGCCTCCGACACCGGAAAGGCTGTTTCAGCTCCTATCCCGATTTCAGGTAACCAAATTCTCGTACTTCTTACTAATACTAGTACTGATCACTAGCAATTGTTAATTACTAATTACCATTTGAATCATTGGTCAATTCTTCTCATGTTATATGATAATTTGATCGGACCTCTAAATTCTAATGGGTTTTCTTTAAGAGAAAAAGCTTTGCTTTAATGGAGGTGTTTGAGCACTGTTGGCAAAACTCTTTTTAGCCTTTGCTATATAGCACGAATCTTCTATTTTTTTACAAGAGAAAGGATAGGGTTGGCCATGAATCGAATATATCTGAGACAAATGTAAACTACATTAATTAGTACAGATGTTTTTCACTCTGCTTTTTCTAGTACTACCTAAAACAAATCACTAACTTTTGGATCGAGTGATAAAAAATTTGAGTTCGACTCTATTCGATTAACAATCAATTTAATATGATTATCGGATATCGGAATCTTAGGAGAAAAATAGGGTAAGTTAGTGCATTTTCCTTTTCTTTGGATCTTTCATAAAAAATGGCGATAATGGTTAAAATAATATCTTTAAAAAATAAAATTTACCAAAATAATTTGTCTCGATGATTATTTCCAGACTCGGATATTTGTTATAGTACTTTTAGAAGACTCCAGGAGTGCATGGAGTCGTCAATTGAAGATTCTAAGATTACTACGTGTCTTCAATCTTAGGAAGACGCATGGTAATCCATGCATCTTTCACCGGCAAAATTGAAGTCACACAGTATTTCTGATGTCCTCCCTTAATACTATAACTATGATTCTAGATCAAGAAAAAAAAAGGTGAGAGTCTTATACAGAGAATTTTTCCCCACTGCTCTACGCGAGCAAGGAAGTCCAGAAAATGAGAAAAATGGTTATCATTGATCCATCAAATGCTTATAGATGTCTTGTTTTGCTCACCTTTCATGCTCACAGAGCAGCAGTACCAGCCACATCAACAGACGGCTATTCCAGGGAATAAGAGTCGAGGTAATATTTGTGTGCTCTGCTGCTACGTTATTCGAATCGGGGGTGAGTGTAAGATACGAAAATATGTTTCCAACATGATTAATGATAAATTTTTGTAAGATTTTCTATTTAAATAGGTGATCTTGAAGGTCATATCTTCGTATCTAGTGTCGGACACAAATACTTTAAAAAGTGTGGACAACATAACTTTTATTTTCATGCTTTGTCTTTGTTTTTGACAACACGTATTATTGTTATATTCGGGTAGTCTGATGTTTGTTTTCAAACTTGTTTTATCGCATATAACCGATTCTTGCAAATGAATGAATCCTTTGACTTATGATAAGTATTCACTTCGATGATTTTCTGTTAAGTTCCTTTTTTGACTTGATTCAGCCTAGTGATTTCTGGAGTATTTGTTGTTTTGGCTCGATTCGTAAGTCGACGGTCGAGTCTCGAACATGCTTGAGTTGCTAAAACTCATTATACGTACGTGATGCCTACATTCAATGTCTGATTTTCATTTTTAATTGTCTCTGTACTTGAAGGGGCACAAACAGTAGAATTAGCGTGTTCCCGTGTGGAAATGCATGCCATGTTCAAATAATCAAGACTTGAACATGCAGGTACAACAAAGGAGAAACATCCAACCTCGAATCCTGAGCTCGGTTCTGCCTCTCAAGATGCGAGGAAGAGGAAGCGGATGGCGACCGACGGAGACGAGGAGACGAGCAGCAGTCCACAGTACCACTTGATCAACGTCATGGAAAGGAACGGTAAAACGCTGGTTGCTCAACTCGAGGCTCAAAACATCGACTTCCAACGGGACAGGGAGCAAAGGAAAGACCACGGCGACAACTTGGTCGCCGTTCTTAATAAGCTTGCGGACGCCCTAGGGAGGATCGCGGACAAGTTATAACCGGGAGGTGATCGAGAAACACGTTTGTACATAAACCGAGTAAACGATGCAGGTTCGAATAGATGGTAGCTGAAATGGTTGAATATATGGATCAAATTGTTGATTCATTCTATTTGTCTCGGGGATATATGCATTTTCCCCCACTACATATTCATATAGTTTCTGCCATTAGTGCCATACACCAATAAATAAGGTTCAGAATTTTGTAGATTTATACTACATTTCTACTTTGAGATTATATGAATTTTCCCACTTTTTTTATACCTTATATAATCAAATTTATTTACTTTTTCGAGTTGAATTCAAATGATCGAGAATATAAATGTGAAACAAAAAAGCAAGGACGTCCCACATATGGCGGGGCAGTGTTTGGGATAAGCTTGTCCCTGCCCTTTTGTCGGACCCTTTTTCTTTCTTTTTCCAACAATCTTTTGATCATCATCTGCTCTTTCTTTTGAGTTAATTACGATACACGTCTTTATATTATTATTTTATTTTAAATTAACATGAATCGAGTGATCTGAGTAATAAAAAAATTATTGTTATTCATCGAGGTCATGAGTAAACTAGGAACGCAAAGGATGAGAGTTAATTATAAATATATACTTCCTTATAATTATTTCCGATAAATAAAAAATATTTTATTTTAAATTGATTCATAATTTTTTTGAAAATTTTAATTTAAAATTAGTCCCTAAACATTTTAATATTCAAAATGTTCAAAAGTTTGGATCCATCGTACGCTAATTTTTGAGTTAACTAATAATATACATCCTCAAACCATGATCTTTATTTTAAATTAGTTCCTAAATTTTTGAATATTTCAATTCCATCCTTAAGCTATATCTCTCATTTTAAATTACTCTCCGAACTTTATAATATTCCAAAATCATCCCAAATTATGACTTCATTCTATATTGGTCCCCACACTTTTGAATGATTTTGGGGGATATTATTAGAATGTTAAAAAAATCCGGGGATCAATTTAGAATGAGGGTTATATTTTGGGAATGAATTTATAATGTTCAAAAGTTTGAGATTGATTCAAAAGGAGATTCATAGTTTTGGATGAAATTGGAATGCTCAAAAGTGTAGAGACCAATTTAGAATGAGAATCACAGTATAGTGGTACGTGTCGGGACTTTAGTTTCGTTATCATGCGATTTTTGAAATTGTATGGGTTGTGACATAATAGTAGTTTCCACTTAATATTCAATATTCATGTACGCGTTTGAGATATATTATATTTATTTTGTTATAATTTAAAAATTAAGAAATACTTATTATCAATTTAAAATCGTTTGTATAATTATTTTTCACCGACGTATCAAATAATATAATAATATAATATTTGAGTAATAAATGGACCATGCAAATCAAATACCCGACCCGACTCAAGAACTTACTTTCCGCATTTACTTGCCTTTCTTCCTCCTTTGTTTCTGGGTTTGTTTTTTCTTGCCTGCAAAAACAGACAGTAAAGTGAAAAAAAAATTACAGTAAACTTTATTCAAAATGTATAAAAACAAAATTCTCTTTCTTTTAACTTAAAAGCCATTAAAATCCATGAAAATCGAGTCGATACAGCTGAATTCTCTTGCTTTTGAAAGCTAATTATCTTAGTTAATCAAGCTCTCAAGGCACTGCGTCTCGCTCTTTTTCCCCTTTTAGGAGGTTTAAATCGAGCTGAAACTGAGATCTCAAGGGTTAATTTTGTTCTATGAAGGATCAAAAATCAATGTCATGCTAACTAGGATTCACCGTAACGAGAAAAAAGAATCGTCGCCTCCACAATGCATTTGGCTAAGCTCGATGACTCTCCCATGTTCCGCAAGCAGGTTTCTCCCTCTTTCACTAGCTTCGTGTTACTTCGTACTTCGTGTTCGAGGTTGTTGATTTAATATTACTTAATTTTCCCCTAAAATGCTTCACATATTTAGCTGAATTATTTCTTGTAGCGTATTTTTATTGTCGTGTTAGTAAACTCCAGTACTCTTGGGGGGGGGGGAAGCAAAGCGGGGAACCTCTAATTTGTCTTTACGATTTCTAAGCTAAGTAAACAAGCTCGTTTGGCTGCCAACTTTAGAAATTTTTAGCTAGAAACCAGCTGTAGTGTTTGTGTAATGAAAAAATTGTAGATTCAAGAGGTTTACTTTTGGGAAAGAGTTAGGAATATATGCGAAAATTGATAGTTAGATGGATGATCAGTATCTGTAATTGGCGGGTTTCTAAAGAATGATCAGTAGATATTGTGTGATCCTTCATCTTTCTGTGATTCTTGATGAGTTGTGTTATTTGGTACTACAGGATTTTGATTATCAGATGGCCTCTTATGCCTTTTAATTTTGACTTAATTATGTTCTGTTTATGAATAAGAAGAGAGAAGAATGAAATGGGGTTGGAAGAATAGAATAATACTTTGAAACCTTTTTTTCCTGGTTAACTTTTCATCCCGTGAATATATCTTTGTCAAGTGTCAATCCTACATCCGAATTTACCTTTTAATTTTGCTTTAAGACATTGTTTACTTTTCATATTCGCATTGTTACAGTGAGGATATACTGTAGTTTCTCATGGATTTTGAAATGTTCTTATGCCTATGAAGATTATAGTTTGGCTAGCTTCTTTAATTTTAAGATATTTATGTTGTTTCCTTGCATCCAATTAATTACTGATTATTGTTTTCCCTCTTTTGGTTTTAAGTTTCAAAGTGAAGTATTTGGTTTCTTGTCATTTTATTGTGTTTTCTACACATTGTTACCTACTTCGCTGTGATGGGCTCTAATGCTAGTACCTTATAAGAGAATATATAGTTTTAGTTACTTCCGGATCATGTATTGGTAATTTATTTATTTATTTGGAGACAGATGCAATCCATGGAGGAAAGTGCAGAGCTGTTACGGGAGAGAAGCTTAAGGTTTTATAAAGGATGTCGAAAATACACGTATGTCTAGATCATCGAATTTATCTATGAATATGATTGTTTTCAGAAAGCAACGTTTCTTTTGGCCATATAAACTGATATGCATGAGAATGTGTCATGGCCAATCATAAATTTCCGAACTAAATGAAGAAATAGTCCAATATTTCTTTCACTAATGGGCAAAGTATTTGTTTAGTGATGTTTGTTTATTTGTGACTCTTGAACATAAAGCGTGTCAAATGTGTAAATTGTCATAACCTATTTTTGTTCCTAAATTTCAGCTTGTTCGAGGTAAGTGTCATATGTTTTTCAACATTCTTCTGACATGTAAAACTAATTACTTAATTGTAACTCTCAACTGGAATAGATTTTTTTTAATTTTTAAATTTTTTTCCCTTTGGTTTCTTCCTTTGAAGAGGGAAGTGGAGTGGGGTTGCTACCACTTGTTATTAGAGCCACGAGTTTGTGAAATATTCATTTTCAATTTTTTCCTTCTGATTGCAGTGAAGGACTTGGGGAAGGATATGATGGGGACATTGCTTTTGCAAATGCCCTTGAAATGTTTGGTGGAGGGCATAATGACAATATTAGTGTGCCTTTTGGAGGTATATACTCGCTCAATCTTTGTGTGAAAGTTGTTTATTGGAATTTCTCAAATGTTGGTTGATGCATATGCACCTTGAACCGTTTGGGCAGTCTTTAGTGGTAGACTGGTAGTGGATTGACCATTGTTGCTTTGGTGGCTCTTACTGTTGCAATAATTGCTTTGGTGTCATTACTTTGCCACTTTGTTCTTCGGTTATGGCATCACATGAAGATTTATTCTGGTGTGATTATGATTCTTATGGCACTATAGCAGTAATTGAACCCTTTTTCTCTACTTTTAGGGCCTGTCATGACCAAGTTTACCATAGCATTGAGAGAAATTGGTACGTACAAGGAAATTCTTCGATCCCAGGTAAAGTTCTGAAGTATCTGCTGAGCATGAATATAAAATTTTTTGAGAGCGAGGACCTGAAAATAGCTGATTTTGGATCTTTGACACTCTCCAACTGCTGCTGCAAGAATAGCAACTGAAAGACTGATTAGTCTTTTAGAAATCAGTCATAAATATTTCTTTTTTAATTTGTTATTTTTTTATTGGCTACCAAAAAATTGCAATGAACAACTTTTGAGAACTAATCTCATGTCATTTTTAGATCTTTTTTTAACACTATATAGTTTGTTGATATTGAAAATTATGGAACTTTCCTTTTTTATTAGAAAATTCAGTCATAAATATTTCTTTTTTAATTTTTTTATTGTTTGCCTAAAAATTGAAATGAACAACTTTTGAGAACCAATCTCATGTCATTTTAGATCTTTCAACATCGTATATAGTTTGTTGAAATTGAAAAATATAAAACTCTTTCTTTTCTTTTTCAGGTTGAAACAGAGCTAAATGACAGATTACTGCAGTTTGTTGACATTGATATACTTGAGGTCAAGGTAACCCCCAGTTCTTCTTGCTTATGAGATCTAAGCAGCTGTATAAAGTTGGGAGGATATGGAACTATCTTAAAGCTGGCCACTGGGCAGCCCCATCAACTCTTATTATATTATTCTTTTAAATTTTGTTTTTAAAATTCTTATCTTAGTGCAGGAAGCACGTAAGCACTTTGACAAGGCTTGTCTCATCTATGACCAGGTGCCTTAGAGGCTACATATTTTTTTTTACTGCTGTTTGCTTTCATGATACAAATGTTCCTTGGATGTGATGTTATATTTCTTAAGTGGGTCTAAAATCATATTCAGTTATATTAGACCAATTCAATTAATCTTGCAGGCTCGAGAAAAGTTTCTTTCTCTGAGGAAAAGTACGAAGAGTGATATTGCCAATATTTTGGAAGAGGTATCTGGCAAAATAGCTTGATAGTTTCTAATTTCATGTATTCGGCATTCTTGCCTATGTATCTATCGTATTGATGGAAAACCCCTACATGCTCTGATATTTGTTGGAGTTATTCTAGGAACTTCATAATGCGAGGTCCACATTTGAGCAAGCTCGTTTCAATCTAGTGAGTTAATTCCTTACTGATCATTTTCGAAATTGATGTATCTGATATTTCAGAATGTTCAACATATGAAATGGGAGTACTGTGGTTTATAATTACAGGTAACTGCTCTTTCAAATGTTGAAGCCAAAAAGAGATTTGAGTTTCTAGAAGCAGT